CGCCGTAGCTTGAATGTATGACCCGTTAGTATGGTGAATGGTAGCGCTGTCAGTCCTATTTTTTTACTTTATTTAATAATGGATTTAAAATAAAGCGATACCGTAATAAGTAGATCAGTGTAGGCGTGCGTTTTTACACGATTCATAAACAGTGGTTAGTTTTAATAACAGAATGGTTTGGCTCTTTTTTTTTTGCAGAGACGATGCCCACATGGTGTGATAATGAAGGATTTTATTAAAAGAAGAAACTGTTGATGAGCTTGAAAGTCAAGTCCTAAGGGGGGATGGATGAGGATTAAAACAAATACAAAGCTGTGAACTCCCCAGTCCATCGGGTTTTTTCTCATCCTTTATCCGATTTTTTTTGCAAATAAGGCGGTTGCGTTTATATCAGTTTGCTGCTAAGCGAACACCGTCGATTATCTTCCTACTCTTAGTGTAATCTTTGCATAATTTTCTTTGCTTTACAAGTTTGGACAATTTTACCGGTATATCGTCGAAAGGTGGTCAAAATATGTTTCATAGGTGTTTCAAACAAATTTAATGTGTGGTGTGCACGTGTATCAGTCAGGGTTAAGTTATTTAGCGTGGTGTAAAACTGAACTGTTGTATAATTCATTTTAATCGCACGGTGGCACTCCAATGGCTATGATCGTTGTTTAATATTGTGTTAATTGGCATACCAAGCAAAATAAAGTAGTTTATTTTTTGTAAACAGTTGTGATTCTCTCTTGTACTAGTTTGTGTATCTTACGCGCAACTCCAACTTATTATACACCTTCTAGGACACTAATTTGAGGTTTAAAGTTCAAGGCGAGTGCAAAAACTGCTTTGAATTCACAAAATACCTCTCTGAGCAGGGTTAGTAACCTTGATTTGAAAGATACAGAAGGTGTGTCGTTTTTCAATGTTGGTTTCAATTGTAATCTGATCGTTTGGTTGAGGGAAGTCCTAACAGTGTAAAGGGAAGTAATTAGGCATTTGACTCTGATAGTGACTTCCGCTCAGGATGTCAAAATGTCAGTCAATATTACTGATAACAGTCCTTTCTGGAACTACTTTCGCGCGGAAATCCAACTCCATCTACTGTTAATCCTGACTTTAAAATCTCTCTGGTAAGTTTCGAAAACGCTAGCAAAGTCACCATTACAGTCAAATGAGTCCTTTGACGCTAATGATGACTTCCAAGCTGGTTCTAGACGGTGGAATGGGCATCAACATTAGTTCCGTCATGGAGGACTGGAGATGATAATTTAGTCTGCAACTTGATTTTCATCTACCATGTCCCTAAACAACCACATATTAAGAGTAGGCACTAACTTGTGACTATAGAAGGGATGTGATTGTTGAAATTGAAAAATACTGGGCCGTTTCTTCCTTCTTCTCTCTTTTCCTTTTTCCCTATTCTTCCTTTAGTTTGCTTCTAAGGCACTCAGGGTCTGAGGTTTCTGAACTTCTCTCCCTTGGATAATGTGATCATGTAAGCATACAAATAGACATACAGGAGTACAACTCATCAAAATTTTATTCCTCAAGTCACTTACGTTCCACACAAACCAAATAGACAAGCTGAGCAGGTGATCAATAGTTACTTTCTTCAGCCTTACTAGTGTGTTTCTTGGTCAGTTATATCCACATGGGATGTCAATACATAATCTAATTTAACAAAAGTGACTTCCTTGGATTTTGCTTCCTATATGTAGAAATACTGGTATTAATGTAAATCTTTATAGCTTGGTTTTAAATACCTTCTAATTATAAAAATACAAAATTTAACTTTCATTAATGGACTTGATATGTTCTCTTAAGATTTGGCAGCTGTGAAGTTCAGGAGAACATGACAACCATCATTTCTATTTTAAAAAAGTTCTGGTTGTATCAAAATTTCACAATTAGAACTATATTACGTCAAGATACTCTTGAGTTATCTAGGATCCTCTAGACTTTCATCTGATTCCGTTCTATAAAATAAGCATTTTCAGGAATGTTTCCTGCCAGAAAAACAGCAGTGCTACATCTGAACTAATCCAGAGTTTTCATCATCATCATCCTCAACATCATGGTAAAAATCATCCTCAAGCATCTTGAGTCTTGAGTAGCCATAGTCTTCAAAGCGAATTGCTTGTCTTCTCTTCATGCGCCTGTAAAAGTAGTTTCCAACAATTGCAGCTCCAGCCGAACAGATCAGCACAGCAATAACAACACCTGCAATCTGCTTCCCTTCCAATGAATTTTTTGCTGGAGGTGAGGTGGGATTTCCAGAAGGTGTTAATGAGCACTAAAACAAAACAATACAAAGAATGTCAACTTGGACACTTTGAGAATCTGATTATCAGAGTTCCCAGCTAACATTTTTACCAAAGTTGCCATTTTGATGACCTAAAATCATAACAAATGGTTTAATTGCACCCCTAAAGGATAAATCTCACCTTGGGATTTGCTGTGCATGCTGGTGGCATTTTGTATAAGTTACACTTCTTCCCATCTTTTACAAAAACCCCATAACTGTTGCTCCTTGGTTTGATTCTGTAAAGAAGAATATTGTCAGTGACATGCACAATAATCACTTCACCAAGTAATCTCCAAAAACCCAACAAGACTTTTATTGATAATCATTTTAGATAACAATGGAATAAATGTAAAAACAACAAAAAAATATACCTGTGGAAGAGAAATGATTCAATAATAAATAAACAACAAAAGTATATTACTGAAAATGCAAAACCAGTGCAATTCAACATTTTGTACATGTAGCTGGTTAACATCCACATCAAAAACAGTCCATGTTGAGGTTGTGCATGTCAGCAAAGCAGAAAGCATAGTCTTAGAATCCAGCAGTCTTGTGTGCAGAGGGTTAATAGTAAAAACAAATTAGTGCAGACTGACTTATTCTTTCATCTTACTGGCTCTCATAACCTTAACATTGACTCCAACTAATATTAATACTTGTGATATAACTACACCAACCTGTAGCAATCCATGATGTTCAAAACTGACCCAACACAGCAGCCAAGGGTGTTATAAAAGTTCCCCACATCCTAGATGGAAAATAATGTTTGTTAATTTTAACACCCAAATTACTCATCAGTTGACAGAAATTCAGGGAGATAACTAAATTTCAATACTTTGTTTTCTCTAACATAAACAGAACCCATCAGCAAATAGTGTACCTTATGACACTGGCTCGAACACATATTTTTCTTCAAGTTTTGGGGAACATTACAAATCTGTTTGAAAATGCAGCAAAATAAGATATCAGTTTCCAGAAAGTAATTCATAAAAACTAAATGTGTATTTTTCCCTATGATATATCTAAAAAAAAATATGGTTAGACATACGTGAAAGTTATAATTATGATCATCACATGTCATTGCAAGTGTGAACCTCAGTGAACTATTGGCACATTTCTTTGTAAACAACTCCCAGTAGTCAAAGTTTAATTGTCAAGGCAACATCTACATCTTGTAGATATTCCAGGATTCATTTTTAATTCCATTTGAAAACAACTGGCACTGAAGAATGTTTGACTATTTACTTGTGGGTGGAGGGGGATAAAGGGGCCACAGCCCAGGAGAACAAGGAAGAGAGAGAAAGGACAGTGGGAGGGCAGGAAACAATAGTAGAAGTTGAAAAGGCAATAGTTTGTTGTTTATTAATGCTTACAACAACAACAACATTTGAGTGCATGGACAAGCCTACATTATACTAGTGTATAAATGTATCAGAGAATATGTGTAAAATATTCAAACCTTTTTGAAGAAGTTTATAAAAGATTTCGACTTGCTGAAGAAATCTGAATACCAGTAGTTTTAAAATTTGATAAAAAAAACATTGAATTACAGTGTAACTTTCTACAAGCACTTAAACTGGACATTAAATCCCATTTTCAACTGGAATATTTATCTCAAATTTGTCTACTTTTTTAGTTGTCTACACTTTCTTAGATTCACTGTATCTGAAATAGCAGAAAAGTAAAGTGAGTGTTCATAATTTTTTAAGGGAAAATTATTTAAATCTGTGTTACCTGGAGTGAACTTCCTGTTTCATTCTTCAGTAGCCCATTAATGAAGTTATTAGCACATGAAGAATTTCCATCCTGCTGACAGAGAGACTTTAGAACTTCATTCACAAACAGGATGTACTTTTGGTCATCCTCCTATGCAAGATACAAACAAATCAGCAAATGTTTAGGTATGACGAAGCCACAAAACATTATTGCCCAACAAACTGATATTTAAAACTGATAACCTTCTGAGAAATTCAAAAAGAGTGTGTAAGATAAACAAGAAAAATCTTTAAAATTTTCACCTATTCTAGCCGTCTGTATTATTGGATAAATGGTGCTACAATTTCCATATTTCATTTCAACTCCTGATCTGTGACAACCATGATACTCTCATGTGGTCAAAAGAGGCGTACGTAGCTCAAATGCAGATATTTCCTACTTCCTTAGTCTCAGTCGACTATAACATAAATTATTGCCACCGCATTACCTTTATCATTGATTTTCCTGTCAAGATACACTTCTTAGTGATAAGCTGCATAGTTTTCCAACAGTGATTTTTGCACAAATTTTCCACTGTAGTCTGCACTTTCCTAAGCCATGTTCTGAATTCAGGGTGTGAATTCATTGTGTAATTATGTAAACAATTATAACTGCTTCTGGGACATATGTTTGACAAATTCTGAAGCTTCTCATCGTGCAGACTCGAAGCAATCGTTCTGCAGTTTTCATAGGCCTCTTTTTGATCTGTACAGTTGCTAAAGTCTGTTGAAGTATTCAAGATGAGATCGCTTCGAAAAATTATTCCATACGGCTCAAAAAAGAAATTGTAGATTTTCAGTTCTTCTAAAGAATACAAAGCATTTCCTGGGTTGCAGATGCAAAATTGGAAAACAAATCCCACAAAAATGAAATTCTTCATGTTAAATAAACAGCATATGTCCTACACAGGCTAAATTACGCCGTCGTCCGCCATTTTGTTTTTACGTGTCATTTAACCAGCGGTTTACCATTCAGTACCAGGTTTTCCAAGAACGTGTGCGGTGAAGATGGCGGACGAACTTACACATCTTTGCTAATAAGATGGAACATTTCAAAGGCAAGAGAGATATTCAGGCAAGTCTATTCCATTTGACTGTAACTTCTATCACTTTTAATTTTAATCGAGAGTTCTTTCTTTTTTCTTTTAAAATTTGTTTCCCGTATATTTTACACTCGCACAACAACTTATTTTCACCGGTTTTTCTCAAAATTATAACATCTTTAAATGATTTTAAGAGAAGTGATTTATGGCACTCTGAGATTTAGTTTCTGATTTTCCTACAGGTCCAAGGAACAAATGACCGTGCTACTCTAAGCAAGTTCTCAACCGTAACACATGGATACTATGAAGATAAGTTCTTACAGTATTTTGTCTCCAAGACTGCTAGAAGAGCACCGATTATTCATTGGTCAGTAATTGAGAGTTTTTCTTCTAACTACCTGACCTAGACTAATACAAATGATTGAATTTCAATTGATGATTAATAGGGCCTGATAGGTTCTAGGTATCAACTGTCTTTGCTCACTTGGCCAGTGGAGATAATCGCATATCGAAGTAAAAAATACATATATTTCCATGGAAGAAAGCTAACTTGACTCCCTTGAATGGTCAATTTTTCTTGTTATTGTACATTTGTATCAAAAATTAGCTCACATGATGTAATGTGAAAATGATTGATTGGTATTGGCTAATCAATGAATGTTATGGAAAAGAAAATTAACTTTTTCCAGGATATATTGTCACAGAATACTTAAAGTGTACATATAAATTCCGGTATGTGTTCAAATGCAGGTCATATTATATAAGGGCAAAGGCAATACAGTACATGGTAAAGGGCTTTTTACAGAGCCTGAGGCTGAAAAAATGTGCATACAAACAGGTACTTGACATGAATTACAAATGATTTTGTGAACTAAGAAAAATAAGGAATTTTGTTGATATTTGACATCAGCCCCAAAGTTAGTTGTAGTGGCAACTATACACCAAGATAATTTTGCCTTTCTTAAGTTTTTTTTCAAAGAAGTAGCCTAATTTATTAGTTGCTTCAATAATAGCAATTATATTGATATTCTGTATTTATATATTGATATTCATTCAGAATCTGTGGATTTATTTAAATGTAACTTACCATAAGAATGAAGCATAATGATACACTCAAAAAATATATACCCAAAATAGGTGAAATTGTCAGCAGCTGGATTGAATTAAGCAAGTAGAGAATATTTTGATTATGAGGTAGTCTTAATCTTATGGTTGTGTGTTATTCCTCTATTTTAGATTGTTTCTGTAGGGGCTGGATTTGACACACTTTTCTTCTCACTTTCCAGTGAAGCAATTCTAAAAGACACAAAATATTTTGAGGTAAATTTTTCTTCAGTATTACATAACAGATCTCTTGTTTATTGACATTTCTCAGATTTGGTAATTTTTTTTTCTGATTCATAGATTGACTTCCCAGAGGTTGCTAAACAGAAAGCTAGTTTGATTCTTCAGCACAAAGAATTATTTCAAGGAATCGGAAAAATTTTAACAGAAAATAAACAGTGGCTTGGAGGAGGTCAGTCACTGGGAATATCTCTCCTCTTTCCTTTATTATCCCTCCCTGTTTTTTCTTTTTCTTTACTTTACTCTGTCTCTCTCATATTAATGTACATTTGTGTGTACTATTCTGTCAATTTAGAGATACAACAAGTAGTAGTCTTTTAATTGTTTGTCTGAACACCATTAGCCATGCAATTTTGTAGCAAATTACCAACTAAATACATTTTATTCATTTCTGATTTCCAGGTATTGATGGTGAAAAATATACGCTTCTGGGATGTAACCTAAAAAATCGTTCAATGCTTGAAAATTGTCTATTGAAATGTGGACTTGACACATCACTTCCTACTTTATTATTGTCAGAAGTTGTACTGACATATATGGACCCACCAGAGAGGTATTCTCCTGAGCTCTGTTTATGGTACATAAGTAATTTGACCGGTGAATTTTTGTAGCATCACACCAACTGAAAGCACTAGCTGTTTTGTGGACCTTAAAAATATCAGGGAGATATGATATGATATGTGTTAAATATAATTATATGGATTTTGAAAAATTAGGAAGGAAGATGATTAAAAACTCTTTATTAAGTTTAAAAGTATTAGAAGCTCAGGAAACAGACTCTGAGAGGAGGAATTTTAATTTTACTGGAGAAGCTTCCATTCCAGTTGTTAACATAGGTGATGTACATGTGTTTGCATGCAAAAGAAGTTGACTTATCTTATTACAATGTAAGAAAACTATGAAACTGACCAATCATGACTGACCTATGCCACTTGAGTCTTACAGCCAACAACATCACGGCAAAACTAACCAATCAGTTTATACAAACCGGACTAAGTACATTCGACTGACAGCAACCTTTCACTTGACTCTGATGATGACTTCTGCTCAGGTTGTTGAAAGGTCAGTCACCATTACCAACAATAGTCCTTCTCAGGACTACACTCACCTGGACGATCAAATGACACTATTAAATGTTACCCCCAGGTTCAAAGCACGTACTGTAAAACTATGAATGTTGTTTTTTGTTTGGTTGGTTTGTTTTGATGAAAGGGCTGGAGGTCTTATAATTCAATGTGAGAAATGTATCTTAGTAATTTGGTAGATGTGTTATGATTATTATCTGTTATGGTTTTCTTTAATATTGTCAAAAAGGTGGTACAAGCTTTGTTATCTCTAACAATCAAGGATGCAAAGCCAAATCACCAAATTAACCTTTTTTGGCACTTGATAAGAAATTTTCCTGACCAACATAGTTATTTTTATTATTTTTAATTTATTTCTGTTTTAGTTCCACGGCCATAATTGGATGGGCAGCAGATTTCTTTAAATCTGCCATGTTTGTAATGTTTGAGCAGGTAGGGAATGAAGTGTTTTGCATCTTTAATGCCAGCAGGGGTTGGGAAAATGTGGTAAAGGATACAGAAAGAGGAAAGCAGGGTCATTATCCTGTGATCATTATAACTGTTCTGTCCTATGGATATGTCGGTACAAAAACTACACTAATGCAAGTGGTTTATTACGTAGGTATCCCCTCATGATCCCTTTGGAATAAAAATGTAAGTACTGTACATTTTTGTAACTTCTGATTTATTCTTAGCTCAATTATGTGGCAAGTGCGGCTTGTTATCTTCTATTTCCATAAGACCTAATTACTTGACATGACTGGTGGTTAAAAATAAAGCAGAAGAAGTAATTGAATTATAAACAAAAAAGTCTTTGAAGCAATTCTATGATTCTGTATCCGTCAAGATATTAGTTTCTGCATTTTAGTACATTTATGTAAGCCTCCCGGAATCTCCTCCTTTGCAAACCATATATCAAAGGATTGACAGCACAATTCGCTGCTCCCGTGAACGGCATAATAAGATAAACTTGACGAGAAAGCTTGTACTGGCCTTGAAATTTGTCGAGAAATTCAATTATAAAAGCTGGAGTCCAACATATTACGAAAGCGATCAGCACGGTGAAGAGAATTTTCGTGATTTTCACTTCCTCTGCGTATGATTTCTCATTGTTTACGTGGATATTTGAAGGTGCAATCTGCGAGAAATGTAGATGAACTTTGCGGAACACTTTGTAATAACAAAATGCAATGACTGGATAAGTCATGGTGATTATTACAGTGTATGGTACGATGAGAACTGCTTGATTTTCACTGTCTTGACTCTTACAAGCGAAACACGCGCATTTTCCGGGATGGAAACAGAATCGTTGGGAAACAAATGGAACTATAAATATTCCAGAAAAGATTGCACAAAACGCGATAGAAATAAGAACTTTGCTTTTTGTGTAAAACCTCTGGTAAATAATCACGGACTGCATCATTTTTATGTAACGATTGACCGCTATGAGTGTCATGGTTATTACTGAAAAACATGCAAAGTAGTATGTTAGACTGCCTTGAATCTGACAAATCACGTCTCCAAATGGCCATCTTCCTAGAATCACCACAATTAACCCCAGAGGAAGACAGAGAATCGTTGACAGCAAGTCTGATGCAGCCAATGCAATTATGTAGTAGTTCTGGATACGGCGGAGCGCATAAGTTCTGTAAAATGCCAAACACAGAGTTATGTTTCCCATCAGTGCCAATATTGCGATAATGAAGGCCGAAGTTGTTTCAAAAATAACTGTCCCTATCTGTCTGTCTCTAAGTGATTCCTCAAGAATTGTTTTCCTGTCTAAAGAGATATTCATTCTGTTGAAAGTCAAAAGATTCCTTTAAAAACTTTCTTTAAGGTGCAGTGCATAATATCCAATGCCCCATTATAGTTTACTTACGGTTTTAGTGAAATTTAATGTAGCCTCTTCTCAACTTGACACTTAATTGTAAATTTTGCTAAGTTTTTAATTTAAATGTCCTTTTCATGACACCCCTATCAGACATATTTAGACACCTGTCTGGGGTTGAAATAACTTGCATACAAGCCTCTAGTCAAATCGATATATTTTAAAATGAATAAGCGTTGATTTTAAGGAGGAATTAAATGTGGCACTTCATGAATTAAATGGACCATTTCAGCTGATAGTTATTTCTGACCCATTGATGCAAGCGTGCCTAGATAGTTGACACAATTCCGTATTTTATCAACAATTGACGGGGAATTTCTTTTTTGTTTCTATCCTGATAGAGGTGAAAAAAAAAAAAAACAAGACATGGATGGGCAATAATATACATAGCAAAAAGCCTCGTGCGAAGCGTTATGAAAGCCTGTACCGTGTAGATATTATTCCTGTCATCCGACTCGGTAAATATCCACCACTGTTCATCTCCCCTTCGGTTAATAATCGGCAATCATTATTAAGGGCTGCCATGTTTGATAAATGTTTGGTTTGTGAGATTCTTTAATCGCCATCGATATAGCTATGGAGCGAATCTTTTAAGATGCAATTTATGATATGATTCTTTCTCACAATGTGTCAACAACGAATTTCTTATTTAGAGGTAGATTTGATAGCAAAAAAACGGTTGAAATACGGCCTTCTTTCTCAAGTTTTCATTAATTCTTTATTCAATTATTATTCAATTCAAATGGTCTTGTCTTTTACAGAGATTTAATCACCTGGTACAAAGTGATTCCCGATATCCAAGTTAAATTTGTATCGCATAAAAAATTAACTGATTTTTCCTTCGTTATCAGGATAAACCATTTTAAAGAATCAGTTGGAGCTCCTTTGTTTGCCACAGAAGCTTTCCCAACCCGACAAAGTCAAATACAGCGATTTATGGGCGAGGTGAATTGAAAACAGACACTTTGATATTAGTTTGACGTCGTCTTTTCTTTGAGTTCATCAGTTTTTCTTTTCATTTCGCACTTTATAGGGATGGCCTTTGGTCCGATGTCCAACATTGAATTTCTTTTATTATGATACTTTGCCTGAAGAAGAAAAAAGGCGAGTGGAAAATGTGGAGCCATTTGATGAGTTTGAGGTGAAGTTTTTAGTGAAATAAAATCGTAGTCTTACAGTGGCGCGCTATTTGCCACGTTCAATTGATTCGTTGCTGTATTTTTTATCTTCTTACTGTTTATCTATGTTTTGTAAGTCTTGAATAAACTCGAAAGAAAAACGTTTTTTTTCAGGAATGGCACCTGATGTGTTCACACTATATAGTCCTTGCTGCATTTAAGGGGATCTGTCAGGATGTTTGTGAGGAGCTGCTTTCGCAGCGGAATGGTAGGTGATTGTATAATAAGCTAACCCAAGATGCAGGTTCGGTGTCTTATTCATTACCTTAACATTTGACATTTTGTTTTTCCTCCTAATTCAGCAAAAGGGATCCATGATGACTCGTCGCTACTTGAAAATGTAAAGTGCACAGTTCGAGTTATGGACGTTGTACCCTCGCGGGATAAACTCAAAAGGTAACAATTCTGCTTCTTTAAGTTTCTGACTTCTCTAGCAACTATTTGAGTTTTCACTTGCTTCGCGACAAATTTATACCATGCTGAGGCAGCTTTTATTTTTAAAGAAGGACAAGTTAGGCCAGTTTTCGTTTTCTTCGCCGTTGCCCAATTTTCTTGATTGAGAAGAATCCAAGTAGACACTAATTTTTAGACAACAAACGCCTAAGTAACCTCTCGTTTTGATAACTAGGCTAGGTCACGCAGCCACTCTTCTTAGTAACGGTGCAGTTCTCATTACTGGAGGATTTGGTCTGGAAAATGGTAAACACCAGCGGCTTGATGGAATTCAACTACTGCGAACGGTGGAAGGTAACTAAACAACAACCGTCACTTTTAATGTTGGGGCAATACTGAACAACAACTTAAACTAAAATAGCAACAGTGAATATATAGCTGCTTGGTTGTATAAGAATATCGATCAGTCTATTTTTAACTCAAATGATCTTCTTCCAGGTAATTTACACTGTGCAAACATCTTACCGGATTCAGAGCGAACACTCGGTAAGAAAGAGAGACGACGTCATAACCGAAGTAACGTTAGTGGGTCCTTAGTAGTTAAAAACACCTTTTATACCAATGCGAAAAACCATGGAGCGCCGAGTAAGAAAGGTTTATTTTCTCTTCCCCACCCCCTATCCCCTTGCTAATGTATATTGGCTCTTTCAACCTTACAAAACACGATTAACTTTGAAAAGTGGAAGAACCCTAAAAATCTCCTGGATAACAATATTTAAGTGCATGCAGCCGACGGCTAATAGCGATGGGTTTCCATGACACTAATTTTATCATCTTTTCATATCAGGTGGCCGAATGTTTCACACTGCTACAAGATTAAACGATACTGATATACTTATATACGGTGGGCGGACATCACCATCAAATCCTTGTAAAGAAACAATTCTAATATCTCTGGACAACAAGGATGAAACAAAGCCTTTACATTGTACAAACGGTGATGTTACCTCTCGTCCAAGTTATAAATATACCATTTACAGTTGTCAAGGAGATATACCAGAACCAAGATGGCGACATACAGCAACACATGTAACCCTTCCCGATGGTATGCACGAACTCTTCCTCTTTGCCTGTAGAACCCAAAAGCGACAGAAAGTTTAATAAGTATTTGAGCTATTCAAAGTGTTTCAAGTCAATACATATATTGAACAACTTAATTCCAGGTCATGTGCGGAGAACAGAACACAAAAATAAGAAGGGCCTTCGTGTCGATTGAACTGAAAGCAGAAACTCTTAGAAGTTTTAAAGGCCCAAAAGTCTTCAGTACAAGGTCCCAGGGGTAGTGGGTTGAGACCTTTGTTATTTTTCCTCTCTCTTTTCTCCGCTACTAACCACAGGATGTTCACGCTAAAGAATTATTGGGCTGGCTGCGGTCCAGACCAGCTCCTAAGTTATAAATTCAACTTTATTTTACAGGAAGCGAAAACTTGCTAATATTTGGTGGACGTACTTCTTCATGCCTTGCTCTTGGAGATTGCTATTTACTAAATATAAAATCAAAAACATGGAATAAGGTACACTAGTTTTTTTTAAGTAACAGAACCCATCATGTGGTCAGAAAAGTCACAGAGAAGCTAAAAAAGTATGCTACACCTTAACGAAGAAAAAGTGTGTCTCTGTTTGTTTCAATTTTAATGCATTGAAGACTGGTTTTTATTTAGGAGTCCATTTCACTTGAATTCCCAGATTTTCATAAAAGGAGATGCCGCTACCCCACGTCATTCTCATAGTGCATGCGTATGGAACAATCATGTGGTGCTGACAGGAGGCCTGGACGCTAATCTCCAAGCCTTGAGCATAGTTCAAACCATGGAAACTGATGTAAGGAGCATTTTGTACTCTTATCTTGACTGGTTAAATACACCTATCACGTGGTACAAAACGGGACAAACTGACAGTCATACTGAACAGTTTACTGACCGCACTGAATGGACTCCGGAGGTTTGAACTGGCAAACAGAAATGAAATAGTTATTAGCTCTTGCACTAGTAAGGTTTTATTGGTCATACCTATGATAAATTGTAAAGATACATGTTTTTGCTGGCTGTTATTCAAATGTTGAACAAAGTTATTTTCCTTCCAATTCTGTCTCATTCAACAGTCAGAGACGCAACGAGAACCACTGGCATGTTGAAAATCACGTAAGGTGAACATCTTATCCATACTTTCTTGCAGGTAAATTCTGTAAAGCTACGGACTCTATCTGTTGATCCTCCCTTACCTCCGAGGTAATACGTCGACACTGATACACCTACCTTTTTAAAATGCTGTAACTTACTTTTCTCGCGAGAGATGCCCTACAACGCGTGCGGAACTACGATGGACTATGGAAGAATTTCACTATGAAGGCATTGAACCCAGGAAATTAACATTATTTTTGTTGGTTTACTTTTGGTTTGTTTGTTTCAGATACTCTCACACAGCTCATGTTGTTGATGAAAATCTTTTTCTCATTGGCGGAGTAATTCCGAATTCTTCCCATCCTGCAGGGGTTGTTGTTTTGAATCTGAAGAATCTGACCTGGAAATCTTACACACTTCCGGTTGGTTTCACATCATCAGCTCTTTCTATTTTTTTCTGATTTTCCAAGTTTTCTTCCATAGATAGCTGTCCATTCATCTCTTAATTTGGTATGCAGTACAATTGGAAAAATTGCTTTGTCGTTAAGTTACAAATTTTTGCAAAAAAAAAAGGAAAAACTATCGAGGGTTTCATTTATCCCTATTTTATGGAATCGTCAGAAATTCTGTACTGTCTTTTTCATTCAATAAATTGTTTCAATTTTTTTAACCATATTTTTTTCAATTTATCAAGTCTAAAACCTGATAAGATAGGTTGGGTATATTCAAACAGAATTTGAAACCTACTAAGTCTACCAGTTAGCGTAAAGGAAGCGTAGAATTGTTATTCTGTTCTTAATTTGTTAATTATTTGTTCCTTTGTTATTTACTTGGATGTCCTCTTATTTTCTTTCAGGCGCGTTCAACACCTTCAATTCCTCTTATGCTTCACAATCATTGCAGTGTCTGGTGGGAAGATTCGCAAGGTATTATGGTTCTTGGCGGTGGAGGAAACTGTTTTTCATTTGGAACTCATTTTAACGATGGGCCAGTGTTTATTGACTTGCCTCCGCCGGGAGAAGCAGCAGCCTCTAAGTGAGCTTAACAAGTCACATTAGCCATTATCGTGCTGCTTGACCATGAGTAAAAGTATCGTCTACATAACACTGAGACAACAATACCAACCAGCTGGCATATGACATTGTAAAAGAAGAACATTCCATTAAAAATTGTTGACAAACGGCGAACTATGTTAGAGTTCCCGTTAATACTCTGCGTTAGTTCGCACTCATTAGATATATGGAGTAATCGTTAATTACTGAAGAAGGATTTTTATTCATTTCGCAAAGTTGTAATTTAAGAAGAGTAACTATTTTGCGAAATCGATTAATAGTCCATTTCGCAAAATAGTATCTCTCCTAAAATTACTATCTAGCGAAATGTATTTTAATACGGTAAGAAATAAGAGGAGGCCAAAATCTTTGGTTATATACTAATTTGTAATGTTTAAATGTATTTTTGTGACATCAAAGAGGTTACGTTGTCACCGCAAGGGTGAAATAGTCGATTTTGCAAAATAGTAGCTCTTCTGAAATTACTACTTTGCGAAATAAATAAAAATCCTTCTTATCAATTGACGATTACTCCAAATTTCTGGTTAAAGTTATCTTTACCTTATTAGAAAATATACCTGCATTATCCCATTTCGTTTCGTTATATCTCGCCTGGTTTCGTTTCGTTTCGCAAAATAGAATAAGCTCGATGGAGCGCTTGGGCATTCGGCCAGAAAAGGGTGACAAAGAAAAAACATTCCAGCTGGCGCAACCACCTGGAGCTAAAGAAATTTTAATCTTCGCTTCTGCCGCAACTACCGGAGGGGGAAACTTTCACAGAGACTTCTTCGAGTTCTCCACGTCTCAGGAAGATAAGAAGTTTGCACAATACCAGTCTGTAGCGACTGACAAGTAATAACTACTGCCAACTCAGCCAATACGTGGTTGCCAGTTGGAGAGGGAACCTTGACTGTTAAGCTTTTTCACAAAGAAGTCGTGAAGAGCGTGACAGGCAAAGTAAGTCCACAACAAGTTTGGAGCGAGGCGTTTGTTATCGGTTACAGATCTTAAATGAATCGCAAGTTAAACACGTGACTCGGTACTTGATTAGAATTTATGTGACAAAGAATTATCGCGGAGTGGCTTGATACAAATAAAGCATGACAAAAAATGAAAGGAAGTGATGCTGCAGTCAAGACCGTAAAACGACCTCGATTGACAGTATATCTTTTCGTTAAGTAGAAAACGGATAGTTCATTAAACCGCGGACACGCTGAGTGTACAAAGATTCTGTTGTTTTTTTGGAGGTGTCAACGGGAGGCGTTTTTTGAGCGAAGGAGGCAAGTTTCTAAGGAAACTGCGGTGTTTCGTCAGTGTAGGGGTAGGGGGGGGGCAATGGAAAATAATTTGATTATATCAACTGAGTCGATGATGTAAATTGTTCACCGTAAAGAGATTCAAAATCTGACGTTTCGAGCGTCAGCCCTTCGTTAAGCGCGGCGAGCGCGGAACGAGAGCTTCTTTCTTTTCTTTCCACCCCTCTGTTTCGCCCACGCTCGCACCCTCACCCTCTGCATGATGATTAAGAGATTGAAGGGATGTGTAAATGTTCTAAGGTATCTGTATTTGCTGATATATTTGACATCCTTGTATTTTTGGTGGTGACGGCCGCCCATATATCTGGAGCCGGGTTGATCCCATTCAGGTAATAAGCTATACGCTTCATTGGCGCACAGCCAACTTTATCACGAATATTTGGGGGTGTGAATACTAACGACATCAGGTTTCTTTTCTGTAATTGTTTTAACTGTAGTTTACCTACAAAGATCGTTTCTTTACTTGATAGGATCCTAGTTCAAAACTTAGCAGCCAAGACTTAAGATGAACAACTCCTTATTATTGGGTAATATCATTTAAAAATAGTATGGATGTTATGAAAATGTTGCGCACTCTTTGTAATAATCTCTTATGTGTTGTTTTTTACGACATGACAAAGGCTAAATCGCAATTTTTAATTTCATAAAAGAGAGAGAGCACTGAAAGTCACTAAGTCAGACTCTAACTGAGTACCCGCATGTTTCTCCATTGACACATAGCCCCACCATACACAGAGTGTCATTGCTCACGACGATAACACTAAGCTTCCCTGTTCACTATCTCTTGTTAAGACCCTTAGCGATGGGAGTAATTGCGAGATTAAAAAAGACTTCCAAAGGAAAACCACGAGACAAAATAAACGCATTATAAAAACATTTCGAGACTCAAGCTCATCGCTGAAGTATCATTCGCCGCGCCCCAAAATGTTTTAAATAAACAAAGGTAAAAGGTCTGATGACATTTTTGCTGATTTATCACGTCCAAAATTTTGAAACTCGTCGAGTTGCGTAATATGAAAGCCACCCAACTCTCACGGAGTAGGCGGTAGTCTCATGTAGCTACAAACAATATTAGTTTGTTTGTCTCCGTTATGAGTACGATAATTCCCAAACGTCCGGTAATTAAACACCTCGTGGAAAAAGATCATGAATTGTTTTTTTTTAAAGCTGCCTTAAAAGCGATTGAGAAATAGTCCATGCAACCTCTAAGTAATTTCATTGGATGCAATTGTGACAGCTGGGAACAGTTCATTGAAATAAAATACCATCGTATCGAGTTGCATGTCGCAGTTCAACTCTGTGCAGACGAGCTAGAGGTCAGGTGGAAATTTTGCAAGTTTCACTTCATCACCAAACCAACCATGAGTGCTGCTCTCTATGAACCAATCCAAAAGAGCTTCGGCACTCTGCCCGAACGTAATGGGGAAGAAAAAACTTACAAGCTGGAGCTGCCAGTCAAAGCAAATGAGGTTTTGATCTACTCATACGTTACAGCTCACGGAGAAGGAAAGTTTCACCGAGGCTACTTTGAGTTCTCAACTTCTCAAGGAGAAAAGAAGTTTACACAGTTCCTGAATATGGCGACTGGGCAAGGCATAAATACTGTCAACTCAGCCAATATGTGGTTTCCATTTGGTGACGGGACCTTGACCATCAAGCTTGTGCACGAAGAAGGCGACAAGAGCGTGGCAGCTGTCACAGATAAAGACTGGAGTGAGGTGTTCGTCATCGGCTACAGATCTTAAAGGTGATGCAAGGAAAACTCTTGACCATCTTGAAAAGAATTTAGTCAAAAAGTTACCTTGAAATTTGCGAATTGACTAAGAAATTTAAAAGGATAAAGGTTTAGATAACTCTGTAATTTAGTTCGTACAACTGGACCTCGAGTTACATGTTGTGAATGTATCTTGATAACAACTGGAATGTTCAATAAACCCCGGATATGCAAAATTTTAAAATTTCTCGTCTCCTTATGTTGTTCAAACGCGAGGTGTCAAAATGTGGTTTGGTGTTTCTAGTTTGATCTTCTTCAGTCTTTCAAAAGCTTGAATTTCAAGTAATTATCTAGTCCAAAAGCCAAATCAGCGGAGCCTCTTTCGACACACTGCCGGATTACATCGGCATTTTTTTTCCTTTTTCTTTTACAAACTGTCTGTAGGAGTCTGGACGGGGGAGAGGCATTCGTCTTCAATTCAGCCCAAAATTCAAAAAGCTTGCTAACCCGTCCCCTTTCCCTCCCGCCTGGTTGGCTGCCTACGTGTCACCCTCCATGTTACCCTTTCGTTACCCTTTAGTTGCAATTCGGCGTATTTCAAAGTAAATTCTCATAAAACTTTTACCTCTTCATTCAAGTTCAGCATAACAAATTTGTTTTCTCATGTTCTTTAAGTTGTAAACTAAGGCCATATGACAACATTACGGTGTAACAATATAAAATTATCAACAAAATCGAACAAGCTAAGTGGTAAGTGCTAGAGGTTACTCTGGGTTTCACAGAATAAAGTGATTAAGATGCTAATATGTCGCGGGGATGATTCCCAGTCTTCCTGTCTATTTGCAAGCACCTACCGATACGTTTTCTCATAAATTACTGACGAGGAATGTTACGAAATAAGAATCACCCTGGCCCGCTCGAGCCCAAACCTCTCAAAACTAGCCGCCAGGGCCAATGATGGTCATAGCAAAATAATTTCTATGATGGCGAACTAAGTTAATGGGGATAAAATGCACGAAAAGTGTTTGTTACGCCTTTTAAACCCAAATCTCAATTTATTGTCTACCACACATTTCTCGTAATTTTGGTTCTGAGAATTTGGCGCTGGATCAGAAAATAATCTCCTTGTGTTGACATTTTCCTGTTTTCTCATCACTTGCGTGGTTGAGATAGTTTTGAAATTGGAGGGGGGAATTATATCTTGATCACTCTTAGGAGTGAAAGGGTCATTAAAGGTCAGGCTAAGGAGCCCCGATTAGTCGATGGAGGGGGGGGGGGGGTGAAAAGTTTTGAAAATATCCGGGGGATGGTACCAAGGGGTTATAAATACCATGCCACCTCTCCTCTTCATCAGAATTGGAGCTTTATAAAAATCACAACTACATTGCATTACGGGCGGCTCTTTTCGATGATAAATTTTTTTTCAGTGATCGATTTAATTGATTCGAATTTCTTTTGAGAAAAAAATTTGGCAGTCTTCTGTAATAAAAGCAGAACATGAACCAGAAGGGAAACTTATTCCAGCAGAATGTTTCACTTTTATCAGTCATTTGATGAGTCACAGAGTGTGCTACTTGTTAAAGTCATTTCACTTAACTCCATGAAAAAAAACTTCGTAGGGAATACATTTCATCCAGAGAGCACTGAAACAGCAACCGAAAAGCTTTGACACCTTCCCCCCCCCCTTCCCCCCCAACCAAGCCAAGATCAAATAAAAAGAGGAGATAAGGCACGATGGCAAAGATCATGTATTTATGCGGTGTTTCACACTTTTTTAGGATGGAGGACAAACCAAAAAAATACCCAAATTTATACCTCGCAAGATTTTCACTGTTATGCGGTGCTCTACCAATTTTAAGAATCAGTGCGTCAATACACATAAATTCGCTTTAGATGTAACTGCCTACAAAACTCAGTGATTTAAAAAAAAGGTGGCTGTTGGTTATCTTGATAATGACAAGAATATGGTGCCTGGAAGCAACCAGATAACTGACAGGAATCCTGTGGTCTAGCTTCGCCCGGCATATTAAGTGGACCCTCAGGTAAGATGGAGGAACATAACACCGGAACTCCAGGGTTTAGGCTCTGTCGTCGCCAGCGGTATCGCCGTTTCTTGAACCAGTTCTGAAAAAATGAATACATTTTCCATGAATATTTTTTTAATTTTTCTCAATCCTGAAGCTGTTGAATTGTAGAGAAAACAAGAAGGACAAACAACGAAAAAAAGGAAAAGCTGACGTTTCGGGCGTTAGTCCTTCGTCCGAGCGAGTGACGAGGGACTAACGCTCCAAACGTGAGCTTTAGAAACTCTTTACAGTGGCCAATTTAAATTATCAACTCAGTTGAAAAACCAAATTATCTTATCAGGACTAAATGATACTTGATCAATGAACATGTAGCTCTTTGAAGCGACGAAATTAATTCTTCATTCTTAAACGCGAAACGAATTATGGCTGGACTGATGAAACTGAGCTTTCTGACTTCAAGTATTAAATATTTTTCGACGCTTGGACTCTTCTTTGAAAGAGAAAATATCATTTCAGGAACTGATATATCCGAAAAGTATTGTTCAATAGATTTTTTTAATCATGTGATTTTGAGAGTTCTCGCCACAAATCTACGAATTTTTAAGGCCTAGTAACTAAAAACGGTTCAAACAAGTTGAATCTATTACGCGTCTCGCCCATACAAGAAATTCGAGCATTTTTCGCTTCCAAATAGTAAATTTAGCATTTATTTGAATGTAACTTCGGTCTCGAAATATTTCTAGTCGGTTTTGCCTTGCTTTTTATCTATAGTTTTCGGGCGGTACGTGATTTCCTAGAAAACCAGACACAACAAGGTAATAAAACTCTTTTTCCGAACACAAAGTGTTTCCTCTATGTTATAAAATAATTGGTTCATGCTTTTAGCTTTGGGGTTTGTCGAGGTACGGATGCACTTGAGAAGGTACTTTCACTCCATTCTGCTTTTTCTTTGTCACTCTTGTCAAATTTCAATTGCTCAAAGTGCAGCTTACCAACAATGTTTGATGCTTGAGTCCCAGTCTATGAGCCAAGTGAGCCCTCACTGCTCGTGAAGGGTACGGAGTCTGCAGAAATGCGCACTCCAGCTCAAGTTTTTGATACAAGGAAATCTTTGTTCGCGTTTTCTTTATTAAGCCGGAATTTGAACCAGCCTCAACATCTTTCCGGTCCTTTGCAGAGTCCCCTTTTCGTTCTAAAAAAAGGGAAAAAACCAGTCTATCTGAATAAGGATCATAATCGGGAGACAACAAAAAACCCGACAATACCATGCAAAACTTCAAAAACATTCGTGCATGCCCATATATGGGTAATCTATTTCCCATCCTATCCGCGCCATTCTTTCGGTGTCTGAGGGAAGCCGATTTCTTCAACTCTAATGTCACGATCAATAGACTTTAAAGGTGAAAACGGAATTATATCTCCCACATATGTAGTTCAAATTAAAGGTGGCTAACTTGGGTGCAATGAAGAGATTTTCATACAAAACTAAGATAGATGGTAAATTACTTTTAAGTGTTTAATTCTCTTTGAAAAAGTTGAACTAAACTTCAATTGACACTTATGAAAAGACAGACGATGATCTTTTCCTCGATAGTTATTCGGGTTAGCGACCAAACGATGTAAAGATGAAGTTAAATTCTTCACCATTTCGATGATGTGCTCCTGTTTCTATTTTTTTTTATGAAGATGAAACTTTTCCCTCGAATGGACTTAAGATCAGCTTTTTATGAGATGTGGGTGAAATAATGGCAGTCAAAGCCAAGGATGATGCGAAAATTATTTCTACCTTTAAGTTCGATGTTTCTTTCGTCCTCTATGTTGACGGTGTCCAGGAAGTCCACCCCCGATTCTAACTCAGCCATAGGTTCCATTAAAAACGGATGAAGTGATGATTTTTCTCCACTCATATTTAAACGACCACCGCAAAAATGGCAAACAACAAATAAATATTGACGTAAGTTGAATCATGTTTATAGAAAAACTGGCTAGAACCAGTCTCTGCTCAGTAAAACCCGACAATGTACAGGCATTATTTCAGCAGCTTGGGGAAGAATCTAAACCAACGGGGAAGGCAAAAAAAGGGTCACCTTTTCATCCCGGCCGTGCGAGATAGCTCACGAGATGGCAAAGCTTGTTCTTAATTGAGAGTCCTTCATGGTAGGTAGCATCAATGTATATTTCCTTTAATTCCGCATTTTTAACTGCGAAGCTGCGATCTTTTCACAGTTGATTTTAGTTTAAAAAATAGGGACACTCCAAAATTTTTTTATCAATCAGTTCAATTTCAGAAAAATAATGTCATTGGTGGTCGTGTTTACACATGTAACTTGCATACGTTTTTTAGGACCAGTTGAAAAAGAGTTTATCTTCAAACTAATCTACGTGAGGAGCAAACATTTTCACTTATCAATCCTTCAGGACTTCCAGAAGAAAAAAGTCCTATGCAAGAAGTACAAAAAAATGTAAGAAGAACTTACATCCCATTTCCGCATTGATTAATACTGACCATGAATAATAAAACATACTCAGCGTCATCTTCCCTGTTGAACAATACACTGTGGTTGGATGAGTGAGTTATCTTATCCAGTTTGTTCAGTCGAGGAGTTGAAGGAATCCAGATGCTGTCTCAGTTGAGCCCAAAATGTTCGCAGAAGCTGTTTGGAGGACATCATACGTGCTACGGCGTTCAGTCGGATCACTTTAACCGCTCTATCTGCTGGAAAAAAGTTTTAGATTCCTCGAAAAGGAACATCAACAATTACCGATTATGATCTCAGGACTTCTTGAAAAGGCTTCTTTCCCTCAAAAAAGGAGAAACTATGAAAGAAAGAAGTAAAGAAATGGTGAACATGTTGCGAAAATCTCAGTTCCCACTCCAAAGTTCCGCAGCTGACGTAGTTCATGGTAAAGTGGAAGCTTTCAAGCGAGGTTTAAGAGAAAACGCAGGCTCGGTTATAAAGTTGATTTGGGTGAAAGAAGAAGTGTGAGTTTAATCCGGCTGTTAATGTAGTGAGTTGCTTGTTGAAAGACCGAATTATCCATGAGACGGGCAGAGGAAATCCTGACTGATAAAAACGGCCTCAGAAAGGTGAAGTCTACAGATGACATTGTAAAGATGTAAGAAGCAAGCTACCATTCTTCAAAAATTCTTAGGCTTTCGAATGGATTTTTTATTCCGAGGGAGGATCTCGAGAAACAGCTAAAAAATGAACTTTCAGGGAAGGCTGGGATAAAATGCGAAATAAGTTGTGGGACGAAATATCAATTTTGTGATGTTAGCTTTTACAAAGATGGTGTTATTGTTGTAAACCTCCCTCACAACCGTCTTTTGGCCGCTTACACCTAACAGCAAGTTTGTGGCTATTTTTTTATTAATCCATGCATCACGCTCTCTACTCCCATTTCTCTTTAGTGAATTATCTAGTGTTTCTATCACACCCGATAGTCGCAATCCACACTTTCCACACCAGGGATAGCTTATTTTCCGGATAGTACTTTATTTTTCACAAATCATCCTGTAGAGTTGTGTTCGGACAGTTAGCTATAATCGGACACCTGTAATCGGACAGTTGAAGCAGCCAATCATATTTAGTCCTTTCAGTCAAATCCACCAATCACAGAATTGATCGCAATAACCATAGCAGCAATCGCTTATCCTAAAAAAATTGTGGAATTTCCAAAGTTGAGGAATTTTTTACTTAGACATTGTCTCTACTGCACATATTTGTCCTAAATGTATATGTTGTTTTCGGAAATTGTGACAGTTCTGATCAATTGGTAACTGAGGACTTTGTGTCGTCCAGTTCTGTCTGTAATCATACTCGTGATTGACAAATGGGACTTCCGCTTCGCGGTCGTCCGTTTTTGTTAGTCACTCGTATGATCACAGACCGAATTGGACTCCACTCGGTCCTATTACCATTATTAATAATTTTAATCGTAGGGATGAATGCCGATAGGAATGCTGTACTTTGTTACCAGGACACTGAATGAATCAGTAGACACACAAATAGTCATAGTTAAATATCGCATTTTGTATGGTTTATTTGGCTTATCACCTTTGATTGCGTTTTTTTTTTCACTTGCTAATCAAGCCATCATTTCTTGATAATTTTGGTTTTATTACAGTTAGTTGACACTAATTTCGGCACCATAGAGTTTCAATGCTGACATTTAATTTCGAGCGTAAGCCCTTCGTTAGCCCTTCAAGGTCATTGTTAGGATGCTTTCGAGAAATGCTTTTTCTAAAGTTTGCTGATAATGTAAGGATGCTTGTATAACGAAACTGCATGCTAAAAACATGAAATCCCCTGAACCTTCGACACCCTTGATAATTCTTGATAAATCGTGACGCATACTTGGCCGCTTTGCCGAATATCAGCGGCAGTATCAAGATGGCGGTCTGAACTGTTAGTAAGCCTGGAACAGTTTCATGTTTGTTACTAACTCCAAACTAATGTTTCGTCTGAACAACCAGATAAAAATAACTATTTCAAAGCAATTTTTGGGTACTTCGCGAAATTTGTTTCATCCAGTCCGAGAGAAAATGTCTGACAATGCCGTGGAAATACTGGACTCGCCCGAGTTCAAAAGCGTTCTCTCTCCAGAATTGCACTCTGTTGCCGCACCATTCCTACAGAATGGATACGATGTAAGAATAGTTGGTGGAGCAGTGCGCGACATTCTTTTGGGATTGCAACCGAAGGACGTTGACCTTGGAACAAATGCTACTCCGGAGAAGATGATTCAGCTGTTCAAACAACACAATATACACTTCATTGAGACCGGCCTAAACCACGGCACCATCACGGCTCATGTTAACAAGCAAGACTTTGAAGTCACGACTTTGCGGATTGATGCTGAAACTGATGGCAGACATGCAAAAGTAGAATTTACCCAGAACTGGAAATTAGATGCAGAGAGGCGTGACCTTACTTTCAATGCCATGAGTTTGGGACTAGACGGAAGTTTGTATGACTATTTTGGCGGAAAGGAAGATCTGTCCAACCGTCGTGTCAGATTCGTAGGTGATCCAGAGTTGCGAATAAAGGAGGATTACCTTCGAATTCTGAGATACTTTCGTTTTTATGGAAGAATAGCTTCAGTAGAAGACAACCATGACCATTCAACATTAAATGTTATACGGGAATGCGCAGACGGATTGAAGAAGATTGCTGTTGAACGGATTTGGATGGAAGTTTCAAAAATTTTGACTGGAAATTACACACCAAGTATTTTGCATCATATGTATGAGCTTAATGTTTCTCAGTGCATTGGTGAGTGAGATAGTCAAACTCCATAGATACAGAAAGAAAGTGTATGGGCTTGGGGAAGGTGTAATAAGGTCAGTGGTTAGTGTGCTGGGTGCATGGTTGAAAGGTGTGGGTTTATACCTTGGCCAGGCCAGTGCATTGTGTTCTTGAGTAAGATGCTTAGCTCTCATATTGTCTCTCTCCACCCAGGAGTGTAAATGGGTACAATCAAACTGGTAGGGAAACTTTGAAGAATTCCTGAGGGCCTGGGTTACATGCAGTGGACTAACAACTTATCAAAGAGAAGTAACAAACTAGGATAAGTTTGTGTCAAATGGGTCATGAAACTCATACAGCAGCCACATCAAGTGTCTGCATTTGAAAAGATAAATGCAGTGCCATGTATCAGATTGTCCAATTTTTGATGCTTTGATAAAACTGGCCTAAGTGTTAATTTGTCTTTGGTGCTTTGAAATACTAGTTAAAATAAATAAAAAAATATGAACAAGGTAAAAATGCAAAAATTGCAAATCTAATCTTGAGCTGAGGTCTAGATACTGATATAGATGATTAATTACTATTTGCTAAAGTGGAGCATGGTAGTGGAGGATATTTACCTTGTGGCAAAGCCACGAGGTTAATATCCATCACTAACCACTAACACTGAGTATATACTAAAGCTGCAAGATAATATAGCACAAAAAGATGAATTTGACTCATTTATTACTGCCTTGATTACAATACTTTCGGGTGCAAATCCTGCACCCATTGCTCAGGGGTGAATAGCAAAGGATATTCAGAGTTTGTGAAGCCAATCATAGTGCACCTTCAATGTTATCCACTGTTTTAATATGTACTAATGATTGATATTTAATGATAGTCACTTCTACTTACTTATCATTTTGTGTGTAATGAAGTCGTGATGGCTTGTCAGGCAAGCATTTTTAACTTGCCTTAAGACAATTGTCCTACACCATAAATACATTTTTTTCTAGTCTTTAAAGTTAGACTAAAGTAAGTGTTGTTGTCTAATTTCAGGCCTACCTACTTATTCTAAAGAAAGCATGCAGGAATTGACTAGAGCATGGAAGGAACATAACATCCATCCACTTCAACCTGAAACTCTGCTCTGTTCCCTTGTCAACACTGCAGAGGAGGCTGAAAACCTTGCAAGGAAGTGGAAACTGTCTAATGCAGAGAAAGCCTTGGGCAAATTTGTAACTCAGCACAGGGAACCCAAGCCTCACGAGCATGTTCTTAAGCCATATCAAGACATAATAGTGTCAGCACCTTATAAGCATGTAAGGAGTTTGAATAAAAGTTATGTTTTGGAAACACTGCACTATCTGGGAAGACATGATCATGCACAGGAAATAAACACATGGTGCATTCCAGTGTTTCCTATTACTGGTGGACACTTGAAGAAGTTGGGAGTCAAGCCTGGACCAGAATTTGGAAAAATGCTTGGAAAACTAAAGGAGATCTGGAAAGAGAGTTATTATACTGTCAGTGAAGCAGATTTACTAGAGAAGGCTAAATCCCTTATAGAGGGATAATTCCTGGTCACTTGTTCGTCAGTTATTGATCATGAATTAACATCAGTTGTTGTACACAATGATGTTTAGGGACCTACATCCAACCTTGATCTTGCTCTGGTCCTGAATATTTTATTAATTTTTTTCTGGAGTTTCTGGTCATGTAAACTGTTGTTTTAACTGAGATAATGATTGAAAACCAATGTGACTGAACACTAACATTTTTGGTCTTTGCAAACTACAGACAATGAATTACTTTAATGGATCAAAGCATTTTACTGGACCCATGTCAATAGCAGTTTTATGACTGAAGTGGCTATTTTAAAATTTGTTTATGAATCCAGACTTGTATAATTGCCTCAATGTTTGTGTGTTCAATTTTCTTAATGATAATAGAGAGAGAATACAGGACAAATTCACATGAAGTTGAAAGTAATGACTTCCCCTGCACGTTTTATTTGAAAACTAAGGTTAGCACTGCCCCTATTCTCTGTGCTTAAGTCATTATTTGTCAAACGACATCAGCACTGCTGCTAAGGACTTAAAACTTTTGAGATAGGGAGGGGTCGAGATCTTTCTTTTGAGTAAGACTTTGCTTTTGTGGGTAAACCCTTGAGGAGTATTTTTGCTTATTCATATTTATTCTTTTAATTTCAGTCCATTCACGATCCACAAGTATTAATCTTAATTCTGAAATCTTTGGTACTGGTCAAAGAAAATGTGCCCCACTGAATTTCCTTAAGTTTTTTAAAATAAATTTAGGGAAAGCCATCATTACTTGATCCTGACACATAGGTCACAAGATTTTTATCTTTGTCTGTTTTAGTAATACATCAAGGTGAAAGTGCCTTGGAATCTCGGTCTACAATTTATAGTAGCTGGTAATCGAATTTGAGATCGATTTGTCCAGCCCCTTGTTCCACACACTCTTCCCCTGCACAATGTACAGGGAATACACGAATTTCAGATATTTAAAGAGAGAGAGAGAGGAATCAAAGATGAAAACTCGCGTGATAGCATCAAAGTTGAATTATATCGTCCTCTTCCATAATGGACGTGTTATCGCTTTCCTCAAATAGAAATGACATTTGTGTCACGTGGTTAGGTTTTGCTTCCACCATCACTGACGAACAGGCGCGGCTGCTAAATTTAAGGGTGTTGAACTCTGTAGAGCGAAGGAGCGGTGTGTGATCGGTTCATGCTCAAATAGATTTACAGCAAGTTTTATCGGCAAAAAGTTTGCCAAAATGTCGAATGCGAAGGAAAAGCAATTGGGGTTACATAAAGTGATCATGGTCGGCAGTGGTGGGGTTGGAAAGTCTGCACTTACCCTGCAGTTCATGTATGATGAGGTGGGTGTTAGGAGCGCTTAAACTCTTCTGTCCTCTGAAGCAGCTAACCCACAACGTAGGGGTTTTCTGTCTATTTTACAGTGAGCGATTTATGTATGCTCTGCCAGTGGATGACATTTTAAATCAAACTTATAATTCTCTGATTTTGAGAGAGCTGAACTGTATACTTTCTCGCATGCCCATCAAGCTAGTGGATAATTGAAATCTATTTTGCTATAATTTATTTTAGTTTGTTGAAGATTACGAGCCCACCAAAGCCGACAGTTATAGGAAAAAAGTTGTTTTAGACGGAGAAGAGTGTCAAATAGACATTTTAGACACAGCAGGACAGGAAGATTATGCTGCTATACGTGATAATTATTTTCGGAGCGGGGAAGGATTTCTTTGCGTGTTCTCAATCACTGAACCAGAGTCATTTGAAGCGACATCAGAATTTAGAGAGCAGATTCTTCGCGTGAAGGGAGACGACGAACATATACCTTTCTTGCTGGTTGGAAACAAGGCTGATTTAGAAGATAAACGGCAAGTAACAGCCGACGAAGCTCAGTCAAAGGCGAAGGAGTGGAACGTAGCTTTTGTTGAAACGTCAGCTAAAACAAAAGCGAACGTTGACAAAGTATTCTTTGATCTTATGAGGGAAATTAAATCGCGGAAAGAGGACGGCTTGAAACCAGTGAAGGACAATAAAAGAAAAAAGAAAAAGAAGTGTGTAATTTTGTAAATCTATGGCCAACTTTCTTGAAATATTGTAAATTCGTATGCGAACTTTGTATCTGTGACCTAGTTCTTTACCTACTCCTTCATGAAGGGGTGGTCGACTGTGGAAACTACTACTTTCTTCCCTGTTGAAATATTGTTATATTTTCAACCTGGTACTTAACGAGTTTGAAACTGGTCAAAGGAGAATATGTTAATGTTGTGTATTACATTGAATACATTTATTTTCTAGGAAGAAATTCATCTTGATTTATCTTTAAATTTCCAAGTTACCAGTAAATTTTTCTCCTATTACACAGGAGGATTCTGGCGATGAAATTAGGAATGATTTGACTTGACAGCCTTGGTCATCATCATGTATTCTCAAAAAAAAATTCAGGGCATTAGTTGTATTGCTGAGAAAAAGTACCAAATTAAAAGAGCTTGAACTGAGAGTATTGAGATGAATATGAAGACAGTTTTCAATTATTGTGTTACGAAGTGTTCATAAATAACAGTGACATTGTAAATAATTTTTGTTGTCTTGAATTGCAAATTCAAATCATAGACTCGAGACATTTTAGTTTTTTAACACACTGTGGCAGACCACTTAATGTCATTTAGCTTACTGTTGCAACTGAATCATGGCATCTTGTTGGAATTAAACCAGTTTGTCATTTCAATGTACAGTCAGTTTTCTTGATTCTGCTTCTCTGGTATGTTTAAATTTACTCAGGTGACATTTTATTTTTATTGGCTAAGGATTGTGCCATACCTTGCTATAATTACTACCCCATGCAAGGTGATTATCATCACTACAGCAGTTATTTCTAAATAGCTGTTTGCTTCTTCTTAATGTTCTTGAAGAAGCAAGGACAATAATTGTTAAACACTTCAAAAATGAATATAATCATTTCTCATGATGTGGTCACTTCAGATGCAGATCATGGCTTTTGCAGACCTGAGGAAGACTATTAGTATGCAGTCAGATTGTTGCGATCCATGTGCAAGGTGACTACATCATGAGACTAACAATTATAATTCTCCTTTGAAGTATTAGTTACCAGGATGACAAAACACAACCCATTTAACGACCATTCTAAACAGTTGCCTTGATAGTCACTGAAGTTATCAAATATTTTCTTTAAGCTCAGTGAGTGATCCCCCACAGCATTCATATCATTTGAAAGTATTCATTGAATCTGAGAAGAGTAATATGCACCTCAAGTCAGGTCTAGAAGGAAACTGTCAGTTGTGCATCAATTGTAGTCTTTGCTTTGAGCCAGATGCCACAAGCCTCTCTTATTCTCTAATCTCACTCTTCCTGGACAATGATATTATTCACATATGCAAATTCTGTGCGGTAAACATTTTTAATGTTCTTATGAAAGATAGACAAGCTAAAAGCTTACAGAAGTGTTAATGCTTGTGAATGGTAAGCATAGTATTGTTTGCAGTAGGAGCTATGCTGGGTATGAGCCGTTTATTTCTATAACTGCAATTCAAGTTTAAATTTAGGTTCAGAGAATACAAGGATCAAAAAGCAAAGTCCCTTCAAGTAAACACAGCTCCAAAGTATACTTGAACAAAGTGGGATTCCTAATGTTATGACCATGTATAGTGCTGGTAAAATTACCTGCTCAAGTCTAACAAAATTTTATCATGCCACAAAATGATTGCTGTATTTCAGAGACAATAATGGCTAGAATGTAAAATAAATTATTTTGCCACCACATCTGCTGTTCATGTGTTGGTTACCTAACTCTCAAATCAGAAAATCTCTGTTTTATCAGCATTTAACAACTAAATATCCTACCTAATAAAGAAAATGTGTCAAGTGACTTCAGCTAACTGAATAAATTTTCTGCAGCACTAAAAAACCACAAATCCCTCCTCCAGCTGGTGCCCACCATACAGCTGTGGGCTGAATAGAAGCAGCTGAATTCACAGCCCATTAAAACCCTGGTGTTCAATAAAGGAAATAAAAGTTTGAGGGTAACACTTTCACATTTCTTTCAGAAGCCTATCCTCATCAGAATGTATAATGTTTGTCATATTCTCCTTCCTATGGGTAATACTGTAAAGGATGATGTCTGTGTCACTTAATTATTTTGCATTCATGACTTAATCTGGGGTCCAGCCATAAAATAAGGGAAGGGAACAAAAAAGACTAGAAAGTGACAAGGTCAAAAACCCATAATGAGAATTACAGCAACAGTCTACTGAAGAATCAGATGAATAACCAGATCAACTTTTATTGACTTATAAAAGTCCTGCAGTGGTCAGACATGTTATCAAATCAACCAGCTTACAATGTGCTGCTTACAGTGGTAACATGATAGTTTGGTCTGTAAAAAAATTACATACTGGTGAGATAACGACACAGCCTCTCTTTTACCAAGATAATTAGCAGTTGTTTCTTAAAAATAAAATTATATCATATTATATACAAGTCTCTAGTAGAGCAGTATTAATGACTATCTCCTGATGTAGCACCAGTATTCTCAAGGTCATCAAGCAAAGAAAAAAACCATCTGCCAAATTCTTTATCACCATGTTTGATAGGACTCCACACCATGCTGTGGACTGGAACCTCTGTTTCCAGCAGTAACAGGGAGGCGATCATAACGTGTATCACTGTAATCAAAGACTTCACGCTTTTGAGAAAAGCTTTCTGAGTAATGTTCTCTGTAAAGATAAGGTGCTGACTCCTCCCTATATGATCGTGAGGAGGAATTATTGTAATCTTTGTTACTACCTCCCTCTCCATAACTGTAATGTCTAAACCGATCAGAAAAGGAACATCTTTCTTGATCTGTGGGAGGAGACAACTGTTCATAATGCACATTGGACTGCGAGTACCTATTTCCCCTGCTGTTATCACTTTTTTCTCTTGAATAGGTATGAGAAAACTCATCAACAGAGGCATTGTGAGAATTGTTGCTTGATTCTCCTGGATAGTCCCTTGGGTAATCATGATAATATGAATCCTGCAAGAAAGTAGACTTAGGGTTGTCTTCAGCATATGAATACTGATGTGTTTCTTCTCTATCATAGAACACATGATCATCTCGTGTGGAATAAGCATCAGCTGAAGTTTCTTCTGTTTCCATTTCAACTGTCTCAATGCTCTGTCTGCGCAGAATTGTTGAAGACTCAAGTGGTTCTACTGATCTCTCTTCTTGCTCTCCTGTTGCTGATAATGCAGGAAGACTGTTGGAATTTTCCAGGCTGTCAACAACAGACTCTCTCCTTGTCTGTTTTGCTGAGCCTGCATCCTCAGCTATTTTCCCCTCTCCTTTGCGTCTGCGTTTCTTACTCCACATCTCATGACAGTCCTGCCATGTTGGTAAGCTGAAAGAACACAAAATGTCACTAAGTATTAAGTACTTTATTCCACACTAATTACAAAAACCAATTCTCTCAGTTAAAAGAACAATTTAAGGAAGTTCATGAAGGAAAATACTTTTCTGTGGATTTGTTAGTTCAGTAAGATAACTTCATTGATCCCTGAGAGTAGGTTACTAGAGCAAAAAAGAAAGAAGAGTACCTTGGTGGACTGATGTTCTCACAAACAACATCCTTCAGAAAGGGATGTTGTAGTGATTCTTCTGCTGTGATCCTCTTTGAAGGATCCAGTGTCAACATGCGGTCAAACAGGTCCAATGCATCACCTGGCATACTTTGAGACAAACAAGACATTCCCTTAATGCTCAGTGAAAGATAAAGTAAAAAAAAAAAGCTCAAATGTATCTTTTTCAGCTAAAAAAGACAACACACGATATGACAAGAAATAACAGTGTAACTAAACACCTTTTAGAAGGAAAAGAACATCACACTGAAATAACCTTAAAGAACAAAGCAGAGAGCATGGCTGAAATAGGAAACTAAAGACTTGAAAGGGTATAGCAGAATAAATTCAGTACAATGATTCAAAGGAGAGAAACTAGGATGCTATGAACAATAATATCAAAATCCTAAAGGCAGCAAGAAACACACAGGACATCTATCACAGGTGACTCACAAAGAAAATTCATCTTTCACTCTTCTGCGGTACTGTTTCTTGGGCTTCATTGTGTGAAAATGTGGCAAATGGATGACATCAGGCCATACTGCTGGTGTTGGTGTTCCACAGATACGACTAAACAATGAGAGAAACAAATTCTAGTCAGTGGTATCACTAAAATTAATTAAAAAATCTAAGAATTACCTTATGTGGTCGTTAAATATTTTTGGAATTGTTTACACATAACTATTACTTTATTATTTTTTAACTTATCTTCAGAAACAAGTTGCAAAATACTTGCTAAGTTTATTCACATACAAAAACTAACAAAAAAACACTGGTTTCTCAATCTTACAATGGCAAATGATGCAAGTATATCTTGAACTGCATCATTCCATCTATAATTTTATTTAAATCAAGAAGCCCTTTCCTATCTCTTTAATATTTTAGAGAAGCAAAGATAGTCTTGGAGTAAAGAAGTTCAAAGTTCATAGGAGTGATGGTTGCATATTTCATGTAGGGGTAAAAGGTGGAATTTTTCATACAAAGGTAAAAACAGCCATGGTGTTTCAATCTATTTGTAGGTTAAGCAATGTACGATTCCCTTCCTCACCTGATTAGTTCCAGCTGACCTATCTCCTGCAATGCAGGAAATATTGGTTTCTTGGTAAACAATTCCCCCAGTATACACCTGATAGAAAATAGACAAAGATAAAAAGAGAGGACTGAAAGCAGGAAATTAGATGAATATCAATATCAATAATACTAGTGAGTATAAGGGTTCTTAAAGAGAGAGACTTGGTTTAATAACTGTCAGTGCTACATATATACTGTACCAAATCTAATCCAGTTTTGTAATCAAATTAAATGGCATTATGTAGTATTTTCCACATACCCCACACTCCAGATATCTATCCCAGGCCCATAGCGTTCTTCTCCCAGCAAAAGTTCTGGTGGTCTGTACCACAATGTGATGACTTTATTTGTGTATGGCCTCCTAAATGTATCAAAAGTTTGAAATGAAAGAAAAAAGAAATGTTATATTTAGAGATGTGTTAAAAAAAAGTGTCTTTGTATGAAAAAGGACATTCACTGCAATAGCTTTCCATAACTAAATACCAGTAATTTTTGCACCAATGCCAAAAGAAAAACCACTAAGGATACCTAATCAGGTTTATATAGTTTTCAATTTTTAAAAGATCACAGTTTGTATGACTTGGAAACATCCATTCACTGTCAACAAGAGTTATTTTGAGCAAATAATTTAGTACTTCTCCAATGAAACATAAGTATGTATCTTCTTCCAGACATTATCTTCCTTAAGAAATACTTTTAGTGTTGATAGCTATTCAGGCAACTGAAGGGTACTAAAGAAAGGCCATGCAAGCTGGCTTGACATGAAGGGAGAACTGCTGTGTTCTGTCTGAAAGAAACTTACAGCTTGTCAGCTAGTGCATGTTAGTTTGTTATAACACCAGATTCTTTTGTCTGATGAATGGACATCAGTAGGGACAATTACTAATCTGATCTTGGGAAAGAAAGAATTGAAAGTGCATCATAAGACTGCACCTTTCATCTGCCTCATACAGTCTTGCCAATCCAAAATCAGCCAGTTTTATTTCTCCCCTGCAAAGACGCAGACATTTTTGAGACACAAAGCAGATTAACAACAGTGAGTTCATAAATGAATAGAGGTGTAAGTTTCTGTGGTACTGTATAGATGATGGGTATTACAAAATACTTTAGTTCTATCTACTAAGTTGCTACAGTAAATTGGTGATGGAAAGAGTTTCTAAGGCTGACATTTTGAGTGTCAGCCCATATTTCTGACTAAAGGCTAATGCTGGAAATGTTGGCTTTTAAAAACTCTTCATGGTGGAATCTTGTATGTTCATAAATGGCTAGTAACCTCAATTCAATGAGAGAAATCATAGATAGATTCTTTGTGCTACTGAGTGCTACTATCATAAAATATCAACTGACTGGTCAGAAATGTTATAAAACAAAACTAAGAAATTAACTTGTCTGTGATAATAATACAAGTTACAATGAAGTGAGAGTAAGTACAAAAGTTGTTACTGCCTGCTTGTCACATAGAAAGGAAGTGTTCAAATGTACAATACATACTTGTTACTCAGCAAAATATTGGAGCACTTAATGTCTCGGTGAAGAAAATTTTTGCGATGACAGTAGCTGAGGCCATCTAAAAGCTGTTTTGTGAAAGACTTGATGTGATCTTCCGTAAAATGAACCAAACCAGATTCCAGCACACCCATCAGATCATGATCCAGGTATTCAAACACAAGATAAAACCCACCTGACATCAATTATGAAACAAATCCATCAATAACTCATTGGCACTATTTATTAATTCCAAAGTTATTAACATTGTCACAATTCCACTCTTCTAAAAAAATTGTTGTATAGAACGTGTACTGAAAGAAGAAAACCTAAACACCAGAATCAATATCTTACTGACCTTTATCTTTTCGGAAATCAAGAGCATTTGGTTTGTCTGTGACAATTTCTTTCAAGTTCACAATATTGTGATGATTCAGCTGTCGAAGGATTTTGATCTCTCTCACTGCTGTGATAGGAAAACCTTCCTTCTCATTGTCAGTCCGTACTTTTTTCAAGGCAACCAGTTCCCCTGTTAATGCAAGAACAACATTTCCTTAAACCCTATGATTAGCAGACTGGATTCAGTTTTAAGGATGTTTACACTGGAAGATGTGTATAAGCTTCAAGTTGAGGTGAAATTCGGGCAGAATAACTTCCAATTTTGGTGGATTTGTGTTTACCTTTCTTAAAGAACTATGACGATTTGACCCAAATAAAATAAAATTATTGACTTGAACATTCATACCATTAGTCAAACAAAGCTCAAAATTTGCTTGACTTACATCATGTATACTGTAACTAGGTCCAGTGCTTCTCAATAAAAGATAACTTAATTATGAAAACAGCCAAAACTTGAAAGTAGTTCATATTTACAGCGAAGCAGTGTTCATTGAGTGTTAAATCCACGTATACACACCTGTAATCTTGTCTTTTGCTTTATAAACTTGCCCATATGTTCCTTCTCCAACTTGATCAATGATTTGAAACATGTCAACACATCTTTCTCCCCACTCACTCTCAGCTGGAGTCTTTGGAGTGGTATCTGGTGTTGACAGTGGTGTTTCACTCTGACTGCTTGGTCCTGACTCTGAAGGTAACATAGAGGCATCTGTATCCTTTAAAGGTCGTAATGGTGGAAAGGAATGTTGTGTTGACTTAGGAGATTCAGGAAGTTTTCCTCCTGGGGAGCGTGGTGAGTATGAAGTTGGAGATTCACCTGGAGTACCTGGAAGTTCTGGCGGCAAAGGAAGTGGTGGTAATGTCGGGGCAGGAGGAGGTGGTGGCTTCTCTTCATCTGGAGGTAAAGGAGGTGGCTCCTCACTGGGAAGAGGTGGTGGCACTGGTTCATTCAAAGGAGGAAGCGGAAGAGCTGGTATTGATTCACTTTGAGTTGGTTTTTTGGTTTCTTCACATTCTGTCTTAACTCTAGATGAAGTAAAATTTGCTTCCTTTGCAAGGACATCTACAGGGGAATCTTTTGCACTAGGTTCTAAATTTTGTTTTGATTTGTTGATGACATCCTTCACTGAATTCTTGCTCACTCCATCTACAATATCAACTCTGCCTTTGTCCTTAAATAAATAATCCTTGGTAGTTGATATTTTATCTCTAGAGTCTCGACTTACAGACTTATCATCTACTTTCCTTAGGGTGTCATTTCTTGAAGAACTTGATCTCTGCCACGATGCATTCTTGCCTCCAGACTTTTGACCTGATTGATGAACATTTGGGCTTCGAGGTGTGCTACGGTGTTGGGTCCTCTTTGGAGGTGTGCGACTTCTGTTATTGGAGCGTGCTGGTGGAGGTGGTGACAAAGACCTGCTGCGTGGTCTATTAGGGTTCCTTTGATTCTTCCTATTCCTTAAACCTGAATTCCTAAAGGGTGGTGATGGCGAATGACGTTCATATGGTGAGGGTGTTCGTCTCCTGCTGTAGGGCATGTAAGACCTGCTACGGCTGTCATATGGTGAGAATTGTCCTATAGGTGAGCGATATGGAGATCTCTCTTGAGATCTGAACGTTCTCATGGGTGACCTCCCTCTTGATCCATATGGAGGAGGTGATGGCGATCTTGATCTATGGCTGAAAGGAGACCTTGACCAAACTTTCCTATTCATCATAGGACTCCTGCTTGGTGACTTTGGTCGGTAAGCTTTTGGAACATGAGGCGACTCAGAACCTCGCCGCTTTGATGAAGTACGCACAGGCGAATAGTGCTCAAAGGTATCCCTGTTCGACAGAATTTTAGGAGACGGTGTCACGTCTTTCCATTTCGACCTAGAAACTGGCGACAAAGCGCTTCCCTCCATTGGCGGAAGATTCATGGGCGACTTGCCATGTTTCTTGCGTTTTTTGCTTGATCCTTGTACAGTGCTATCCTTTCTCGACTTCTTTCGTTTGACACTAGGCTTCGACTTTTTCGACGCAACGGGCGAGGGGCTCCGTGAGATCGAGCTGTACCTTGGAACAGGCAACTGTTCGGTTTCTTCTGAAGCGGAGGAAATATCTTCGTATTGCTCCTTTAGCTTTTCAACCGAGTCCTCAGTTTTGGGGCGTTTTCTATGTTTCTTTTGCTTATGGGATGACTTTTTGCCTTTACTATGATTTCGAGCAGAAGGGCTCAATTCCTTCTCATTACGGGAACTGGGCATCTTGATAAGAAGTCTGGGCTGAAATGCTACTACATTGTTCACTTAATTGACAACTAGACCGGCAAAACAAAAGAGATATGAACTGTAATAAATAGCTTTTATAAGGAACGCATTTTCGTGACACAGGGAGCGAGATGAAATTGGATTGTGGTAATGATGTTTTGCTCCGTCGTCGGCGCCATTTTGGATTGTGGAGGCATTCAGGCAATTTATTTTGCGCATGTGCACGACGCATTAATTATGTTAATTTTCATTTCCAACATGGCGGATGTGTTGGACGAACAGGAAGAGGTGTTGCAGGATATGGAGTGTACGGATATGGACTACAGAAAGATGAGGCAAAGTCAGGAAGCGGTAATTCATATGTTAATGATGCACTGAAAATTTATTTCAAAATTTGATCGATCCAAGAAAGTTGCACAAATTCTCGAAGGTACATTGACAAATTCTCAAGTTCCCGAAGTTTCTGAGATGAGACTTTTGACGTTTTAATTTACGGCTTAATGTGGCTCTATATTCTAGGGGTTCTCCCCTTTGGGTATCGGTGTTAGTATTTCTACATCTAGCAGTTTCCTCTTAGCCACTTTTCTCGCTTTTTCCTATTCCTCTTTTTCCTTCTCGCACTTTCCCATTGTTTCCAGGAGTCCATTTGGAGGGAAAACAGCTCTGATACGTTATAAATTCAGTGTTTTCATCTCACAGACGGGTTACATCAAGGTATTTTCAGCATAACAGTGACTTATTTTGGTTCACTTTTCAGTAACATTCGAGATAGGGCATTGCCATTTCGTTAAATGCTGCAATCAAACGTGTCAGTTCAGACCTCTCGCAAACCTTTGTTCCTGACTTTTGATCTGAGTATTTCAATCCTTGTTTTTTGCGCTTTTAGATGTCTGTTGCAATAATGACCAAAGGGAAAATGAAACAGAATTGTATGTTCAGCTCTTTGTCTCGGAATTTGCATCTTCTTGAAGGGCATATTTAAACTAAATATTTTTTTTCAAGGCTGGGTACCGTGAGGGTATGGAATCAGGAAAGGAAGCCAGTTTACAACAAGGTTTCAATGACGGATTTATTTATGGAGCCAGTGTTTCAAGGGAATGGGCAAAGCTGAGAGGAGTTTTGAGGTAAAACACATCCATGCATCTTAAGACAAAATCCTTAAGTTGCTCTTTCTTTTCACTTTTCTCATTCCTTTTATTTATAAAACAGTGCTCTGATGTTATTTGTGAGTTCAAATTCTGTGCAAGTACTTCATCCAAACATCACAAATGAAATCACAGAACTACTAGCATTGGTCTGCCAAATGGAGAACAAGGCTCTAAGTACACAAAATATGAAAGATGCAATACAGGACCAAATAAACCCACAGGATCAATGTTCTTTGGAAAAATCAGAAAATGGAGGTGCCTCTCTGACTCATCATAAAGTGGTAACTAAAGGTAGAACTGTAAATGAACATGAATTGTTGGTAGCATTTGAAATGCTTGATACACAAGATGGTAGTACTAATGGCATTGATGATTTAAGAAGTAGATGTGAGCAAAGTGAGAATGTTGTAGGAAAAAGATGTTCCAAAGACCCAGCTCTGCCTGAAAAATTCTTCAACTGTAGCCAAACTCCAGTAGAGACATTTAAGATCAAATGTAATGACATGGAACACTTGTGGACTATGATTGTCTCATTAGCTGATAGACTTGGTATCAATAAACAAAAAATACTTGCAGTGAAAAACATTTAATAAAAATAATATTGATGTATGAATACCTTCTAGATAATGGCATGAAATTAAACACTTTGTAAGGTCTTCATCTTTAAAAACCCATTCACAAACAGTACATTGTAGTGTTCTGGTTTTAAACGGTTTTAAAACCCTGAGAAAACAGAACCCCAAGACACAGAGAAACACTAGCTGATCTGGCCCAATAAATGCTTGAAAAGTAGTTGTTAGTCACACAATTTTCTTGCTATTGATAATTCATTTTTATCCAATCAAAGTTCTTTTATCCTACTCTCTTGGTACCAGTTCAGGATGGATTTAAACACTCTTCCTGCTTAAGAGAAAGAAACAGGAAAAAATCCTTTTGTGGTCTCTGAGGAATAATAAATCTCTTATTTGTTGTTTAAGATATCATATGCACTGCCATTTTGGTTATCATGTATTAACCCATGGAACTGATAGTTATAGGTAGTACAATAATCAAAACAAGAATGGTTGAGAAAAGTACTGAACATAAAATTACTTTGGTTAAGAATATATGAAAGTCATATATTTGAACTGCGGATAAAGACGTGAATGAAAGTGATCCTCGCAGTAATATGCACTACTTAGGCAGTAGTGAAAATAAGACCTGAAAAAAATTCAGGCCCGTACGGGATTTGAACCCATGACCTCTGTGATACCAGTGCAGCGCTCTACCAACTGAGCTAACAAGCCAACTGGGAGCTGGTCATGAAGTTGGTTCTAAATAAACCCGTGAAGTGATGAATAAATGGTTAAGAATATATGAAAGTCATATATTTGAACTGCGGATAAAGACGTGAATGAAAGTGATCCTCACAGTAATGTGCACTACTTAGGCAGTAGTGAAAATAAGACCTGAAAAAAATTCAGGCCTGTACGGGATTTGAACCCATGACCTCTGCGATACCGGTGCAGCGCACTACCAACTGAGCTAACAAGCCCAATAAATGGTAGAGCGCTGCACCGGTATCGCAGAGGTCATGGGTTCAAATCCCGTACAGGCCTGAATTTTTTTCAGGTCTTATTTTCACTACTGCCTAAGTAGTGCACATTACTGCGAGGATCACTTTCATTCACATAAAATTACTTTATTTGAAAATGCTCACCCATGAATTGAAGTACATAAACTAAAGGTGAATAATTTACCTCTAACATTTACATTTCTTAATTAACACTAATTCCATTAAATGGGAAAATAGTACAAATACACTTTGCACAAGATAGATCATTACCAATTATCTATCTGTGTCCGAGACTCACAATGTTGTCTCCTCAGTAAGGGGTTTTGTGTATCTAATGGAAAATCAATCCTTTCACTCTTAAGAGTAGCAACAAAGTAATTTTGCCTCACTCAAATGCTGGGAACTTTGACGAGTGAGGTTCCAGTATATCAGCTAGGAAATAAACTGTACCAGCCATCCCTGAAAAAAAAATTTAATCCTAAATAAATAACAAATATTATTAAACCAATTGGATTTACGATTTCCAAAATTATGCACCTTTCAATTAATGAAATGGAAGGTCAGTTGGTCTGTTACTAATCCTCACTCACAAGACATATACAAAATACACTTCTCATTAATTTCCTTAGTTCTGCAATGTCAAACCAAGATCCAAAGAGAATCCAATCTGTGCTTCCAAGAATATTACATTCTTGGGGAAATCAAAATGGATAAGTACCTTCCTATCCAATTGTTCTCCAGACCCACCACATCACAGTTATGAAAGGGTGCAGAGAAATCAAACTTAGAAACCTTAATCTATACGAGTGATACAAGCAACTCTTGTTAACTTACCCTCAAACAATGAGTATGGACGGTCTGGACTTCTACAACCATGTTTGCCATAATCAAAACACCATTCAGCAAACTTAAACAAAAGCAATGACAACAATTAAGACAATTTTTGCATTGTTCAAATTGTATAGGCTGGGTCACTGTGGGTCAAACCTGAATTACAGTGTTTAGATGAAATTCAAATTTTCTTGTCAATTGAAACTGGCCATAGATTACACAGCATCTATAGAGTCCTTGTTGATGGCGAGAAAGTGTCTAAAAATCACAAGCTCAATCAGGCTTATCAGTGGTGCTCAATGCCTCAACCCACCTTCAGGGCACGATGTAGGTACTTAGAATCTCCAGTCTGCTTGTATAAACACAAAAAGGCATAAGCATTCCCTGCCACACCATGGCATATGCCATAGCCTTTCTTTAGTAAACCTCGCCTCCAAATCACATCTCCACACTTAACAGCTGCACTCAAGTACTTGTCTTTTCCAAAGACCTGTTGGTGAAAATGGCCACTCTCAATATTGTAGCAAGATAGTTTTCAATAAATTGACTCAATAAGGTTAAAAAAAATAACAACCAAACAAACAATTGAGGTCAATCGAGAAGAACATACCTGGTATGCTTTGACCATAAGGTGGACTGCACCAGGAGCTCCATGGCACCAGTGGATGAGCTTATCAGTGTCATTCTCCAGTGATGAGGGAAAGTTACCAGAAGAAAACTGCTCTGACACAAGAAACTCAACACAGCTCTCAATGTTTCCCAAGTTAGCCTTTACTGACTGGGTTGACAGAGTCTTGCAAAAATTATACACATATAAAAAAAAAAACAGCTTTCTTTTCACTTTAGATATGTTCCTCCCTCTCAAGAATGCCCACCTTTCTGCAATGGGTACTTTCTTCTGTCTTCAAGCCAGCCATTGTGGAGAGATTTAAGTAAGTTAAATAGATTTCAAAAGTCCAAGAAAACATCACGAGATCACTGTAGCAACTATAGTGTAATTCTAGAAGTTAAAGCCATACTTACCTGAAGTAACATGAACAGGATTCCAACAATACCATGTGCTGCACCAACATAATGTTTGTCATGCCATGTGTACATTAAGGGTGACCTACTTCTCTCCTGCTTTGCAAGCCTTTCACCAGAATCTAAAATAGCTTGACAGACCTATAGTGTCATGGCATTTCATCAGAATGTACTTTATCTCAAAATGGATATTACTAGCACTTAATTTCATTATTACTTTACTTATTACATGAGGTTGTCTAGCCAGAGGGTAGACTTCAACTTTTATCCAACTCTGTAAATAGTTGACTGATTGGGTTACATGCAAGTTGACATTTTTAATGCAAATCTATATTCATTACTTTTGGAATATTTAAATGTTTAACTGTTTCTCCTTGGCCTTGAAAATCCCTACGTGTGGGTGTGACCAATCAGGTTTACAGTGAGCTGTTGTTCTTCAAATGAAGTTAAAGTTGATACAGAATGAAATGTTTTATAGTAGATAATAAGTTCAGTCAGCTCTTAAAACAAAATGAGGTAGTAATATAGATATAACGAGTGCAGAAATGTCAGATCTATGTACCAAACCAAACAGAAGAATGCCTTTGATGAGGCTTCCTGTGATGTGAAAAGTAGTTCAGTAAACATTCTGACAAGTGCAGTTTGTGACAGTTTTATAGGTCTGGTAACCCAAATAAGTACTCTGAAGCTTCAGTTTTCAGCAACTCATAGGGTAACCTGTCTATATATCACGGCAGTAATCTTAGATAGTATCTCCACAGCACTATGATATCATTACTAGGTTCACAATAAAAACTGAGAAGCAGACTAACTATTCACCTGGTTAATTACATTGGCATTAATCTTCTCATCTCCTAAGTGCTGTTGCACAAACAGCAATGAAAATAAGTACCCTGCTCGACCATAAAGCACCTCGTCAGGAAGTAAAGGATCTCTGCACACATTATCTGACAGACTTAACAGCTTGGAGAGACATTCCTCACTCTTATCTTTCAGACCCATCTTTGAGTAGAGAACAGCAAGCATGGAGAGGACACCTATGCAGAGAGAAATTAAATGGAAAATTATTCTCTCAAACTGGCTTCTCAAGATAGATCATTGTTAATAATTAATTTTCACTTTCACCTCATATCACCAAGATTACATTTATTTACCAGTATTCAAAGTGATGCCACCATCTTTTTTCTCCCCTGACCCCCCCATTTCTCACTTTGGAGGATTGGGAAAAGGAGAGACCCTGAGAGGCAGGTTATCTTTCAGCACTCACAGTCTGTGGTAATCCAGTCTGGTCAGTGATAACTTAAAGTAATAACTGTAATAATTTTAGTCAGTGATAAATACTGCACTCAGCCAACTGTTGTCCAACAGTTGGTTGACCATTGGCAGTCGGCTGACAGATGGCCAACAGCCGGCTGACTGTTGGCCGACAGACAGCCAAAAGTATCTTTTGGGAACTTTTCTTCACTTTTACCAATTCTGCTACAAACAATTAGGGCTGAAACTGGTTAAACTTCATTTTAAGTTTAGTAAACCCAATTATGAACTGTCAAAATTAAGAATCATTCTATCATTAGTTTGTTTATTCAGAATAAATGAGGTTTAACCAACTTGTAAATGGACATATTAAATATTCCTTCCATCAATGGTTCTCACCAGAATCTCCACAAATAAATGTTACCCTCTTCCCTCTTAGACTATCCTGGCTATGTTCAAGGATTTTCAAAGCACTCTTTAAACATCCCTGCTTTCCATTATCATCTTCCTTGAAAAGAGTGTTTGATAAATGCATGTACAGAAGGGCCATACCTACAAATGTAAAAAGAACCCGATAACGGTACTCCTCTCTTTATTACATATCTGTAAATTTTGTCAACATTTAGTTATAAGCTTTTTGTAGTACAGTCATAATTCATCAAGCTGTAAGTGCGAGTTGTCGCCTAACTTTCACATGTACAAAACATGTTCAATCTCCAGCTGACACAAACAAAAATGTAGAATCCTGAAAACGGTCGTTAGTTTATATTAACGCGATTTAATATTTCATCTTACCTGCAGTACCTGTGTAGACAGAACAATCACGATCATCTTTGCTGCGCTCAAAACCTTCCTCGCATTTTTTCAACAATTTGTGAGCTTCACTTCTTATCCTTGAGTAAAGAGGGTCACTAATCTACTGACAAAAAAACACCTATAAAATGCCCGAGCACATGGAGGAGAACGATAAACAGAGTATCAATCGTCCCAAATACTTTTCATCGCTAATCTTACCTTTTTGGTAGGTAGTAGCAAAGTGTAGTTTTCTCTTGCTGTCTTTAGTAAATCAGACTCTTATTATTTCTTCGGAACCTCTCACTTTGTAAGCCAATATTCTACGTCATATCTACCTACCTTGCCTTCAGAATACTGCAAAATTGTTTGTCCGTCACGATCCTGAAATCTGTTCGCAAAATATCTCCTCTCTGAGCTCGCCATATCTTGTTTTGTTGAAAACCTACCAGGCGTTCCTTGAACAAAAAAAATAGTATAATTTATTTATGTAGTAAGGCTACCGCTGTCAAGCTGTAAAACGTGGGCTAACTTGTGTCAATTATTATAAATGATTACCGGAAAGAAAATAAATATTTGCCTGACTATGGTCGAGTGACGAGTGTGGAGCAGGAGGTGTTTCTCTCATCAGCATCTTTCTCTTTCTCTGTTACATATCCTGTTGGTAAAGGTACGTAGTGACCTAAATACAAAAATTTTACATTCGGTACACTCAAGCAAGACAGAGAAGATTTTGCTGGCTGTGTTTCTGTGGAGACAATCTTCAAATTGAAGATTATCAGATAGTTAACTATCTTTTCTGTTACAGATCGAGTACATCTCTTGTTAAAATCTGATATATTCATTTGTATTAAAAGGCGATTTTAAAACGCACCAGACAGTTTTGATGATTGGTTTGCTCTGCCGGATCAACTTAAAGTAACTGGAAGTGTTAATTTGTAATGTTTCAATGTCTGTTCTTCGCTGCTTAATTTTTCGGCTTAAAATGTGTCATGGATCCCACGAATGTCCCTGGCTAAGCTTACAAAAGTGGGATTTGTCGCAACTGACAAATGTGTTATACACACTACAATTTTTTATGGTTGATTTTCAGCTATTGTTTTATATTTACGGCTAAGCTGCAGAACACCCTGCCACTCATTTACATGTCATTTACTAAGAATAACTTTTATTGTATTATGCCTCGATCTTCAAAGCCTCCTGACACATGTAAATGAGGTGGACCAAAGTGGCTGTGTATTCTGCAGTTGCTCCGTATTTACTTTTAATATGAAGAAACCTCTGATCTCCTCTACCAGTAATTATTACTGAACAGACTGTCTTTCCACTTTTTTTCCTCCTTGATCATAGAACAGACTTAAATGTTTTAATTGTAATAAAACCTTTTTAGGGTAATTTTGTCATTTATGATACTGTAATAACAGACACAGATGTTTGTAAAAAAGACATTTAGTGTGACATGTAATGTTTTCTTTGTTTTTCCTGTACATATTTTCATAGGTCATGTGATTACACAGTAAATGACAAAAGGGAATTTAGCTCTAGGTCAATTCTCAAAGAACGTTTCATCTGCATAATGCTCTTACTTCAGTTTAAAATTCCCTGGAACATTTAATTATGGCCACTGCAAGAGATAGCAATGATCCAACAGATATCAATTGTGTTTTGGACAATTTGGGAAGCCTTATTGGTGAATTGGATGCCTGTGTCACAGAAAATGATGGAAAGGTTAGTACAAGCGTTAAGCCTTGTTTAGCTCTGTCCAAGATTCCCTATGGCTAGTTATCACATCAATAGTTTACAGAATAACTAGCTGTTAACTTGGAAAGTTTGATGATATGTGTTACCAGTAACTTTTTAAGTGAAATAAAGCCAGGCCAGGTTGGGAAATACTTCTGAATAAATAGATCTTACATGTATTTAATTTTCATTTTATCTTCTGATGATTCTGGAGGTCATCATTACAATTAAATTATCTTTGCCTAGTGTGTGGTAAAATAAAGGATACTCTTCTGCTCCTTACTGTCATGATTTAAACTATTTCTTTTTGCTAAATTATAGGCTGTTGCCAGTGAAGTGGAAGACAATGAAAACTGTAAGTGTCTGACATTTCACTAGAAATGGGCTTGATCGTGGATGTTCAGTCTTTGTAGGTGAAAAAAGTGTGAACTCAGATTCTGTTTTCTTCATTACAGTTGATGTACATTTGGAATTCTTGCTAGGTGACACAGATGAGTTTGATGATGATGAATATCAGTGTCTTATTCCTCGTCGAAGATCATCTTCACACATATCACCTACCAACACCATCAATCAAAGTCGTAACAAGGGCTTAATGGAAAGAGCAGTCAGTTCAGCTCACACTTCTCCCCAACAACCACTTAATTCAAACTCTGGTTCTGTAAACAAGACACAGGAAAATCAGTACACCACTCCACCAAATGGGAGTGGTTATAAAGAGGCTTTCAAAGAGGTTGCCCTAAGTGTGGAGTTGCAAGGAAGTTTCAAAAAAATTGATGAAAGTTCAGTCACTGCTTCAGCTCAGAAGAATGCTGCACCCAATCACAATGCAGCTTCCCATGCTAAAGCAAAGCCTAATCATGATGTTGCACCCAGTGAACTTGGTTTTAATAGACACAATCCTCAAAAGTCTGGTGCCACGACAAATGGAATGGTGCACTGCAGTCAGCAATGCATAACACAAGAAAAACTTAAAATGCAGGTGATTAGTTTGAAATTATAGTCATCATCATATCAAATTGCACTTTGATTTTTGGTTTTATTGAGATACTTTTAATTGTTGCTCAAGATCCTTTCCCCTCTAATTTGTTATTCTTGATTTAATTGATAGTGTGTTATCTGTTATCTATATTAAATAGTTCTTGGTGAAATAGGGGGGAGAGAAGGGGAGGGGGTCACAGCCTCCCACTTCCCGTAACACGTTCTCCTGCCTCCCATACTCTCATGGTCCTTTGCCTCCTGACTCCTGCCTTTCATTGTATATTACTACCCTCAACTGCTTAGAATCCTTGCCAACAATTAATGTGGTAAATTTACCTCTCTAGAGATTCATTTTACATGTTGAAATGCAATCAAAAGGGAACGCTATTACCTATTAAAGAAATATATAGAATATACAATAAAGAAAGTGGTACAGGCAGTACATAGGTAAATGTGTGGCTTATTTTTTTTCAGCAGGTCAGTGTAGTTTGGTCCCAGATATTTTTCCCACCCCACCTACTTTCCTGTCCTTCCATTGATCCAATCATTTTCAGAGAATGCCTAAGGTTTTGTGGTCCTGTTTTAGGAATTTGCCAGCCATGGTGGTAATATTATACTTAGAGACTGGTTATACATATGGATACCCTAGTCACCCACCTTCCCCTTATCCAGTGTAATTGATTAACTATGAGGTTTCTGTGTTTTTATTTTATTACAGCACATAACAGTGGTAGTTTTTGATGAGGATGGCAATCCTGTTGGATTGGAAGTTTCATCTTCTATGAGGGCTCAGGAAGCCTGTTACAGGCTAGCAATATTAAAAAAAATTGAGGATGATCCTCAGTGGGTGCTGACAGAATATCTGACTGACCTAGGCATTGGTAAGTGACATAAAATTTGTTAATATAAAGTCATTCTCAAGTGTGATCTAAAAAAATGAAATGAAAGAGAAATTTTGTGAATAATTCATTAGAGATACATTCCCCATAATTTTCCTGTCAATAAATATAAAAAAATTATAATAAACAGTTCTTGTAATATGAAAATCATTCATCTGGTTGTTTTTATAATGACCTGTAATGAGTTCTGAGGAGTAGGTTGTTTCAGCTAGCACTGGTCAGATTTACAAACACACTCTTTGGCTACTTTATTGCTTTCTATCTCATGTTTTGCTGGCCCCAATGAATTCAATTTTATTGAAGCTATTAACTTTTTAGCTTCATTGAACTCTGTTTTTTTTTCTTTTTATCTAGAGCGTAACTTAGAAGATCATGAGAATTTAATGTCCATATTGAAAACATGGGCACCTGGTTCAAACAACAAGTTGTTGTTTAGAAAAGATCTTAGAAAGTACCACTTCTTTGCACACACAACTGTAAGTTGACTTTTATTTGTATAAGCATATACAGGATTATTTCTAGAAAAAAATTAATTTAAATTTTTTTGCACCAAGCCTCCAAGCCCTCATTACCTCAATATCCAAAAACTCTCAGTTATAAATGGAACATGCATTCAATTATTGGCAGAATTATTTCCCATCACATTTGTTGGACTCTGAAAGTTCAGACAAAGCAGTCACAGAGAAAGCACAGAAGGCAAAGACAATCTTACAACAGGTAAATATTGTTCTGCGTTTCTTGTAATGTAATGACAGATTTTACTGTAGCATTGAGTAGATAGCAACCTGACCATCATTACTTTAAATGATCATTGATATTAGATAAATATGAACCAATAAATCATCATTAAAGACTAATACCATTTAACTTGAATACCTCAGGGCTGAATCAATTAAAGGTTGTTTATTTTGTAGTGAATAAAATAAGCACCAATATTGGGCTCACAGTACACAGAAACTACAAAGAAAAAATGTTAGCTAAGCCTGTAATAGTGCATAATATGCCTCTAATAACTTTGCCCAGATGATAATAGATGTGAAGAGTTGTATTCTCTGATTTCTTTTTCTTTTCCTGTAGAAACTGTTCAGTACCTGTACCAGAGTCCCAGAAATAGAGGGGATTTTACATTGCAAAGATTTTGGGAAAAAGTCATGGAGCAAGAAATTCTTTTTCCTGAGGGGATCAGGTCTTTATTCTTCCAGTAAAGGAAAGTCAAAGGTATGCAGGTGTCACTGGCATGTTGACAACATTTCCTCTTTAAACCTTTGTGTAAAAATCCTAAATCACCATTTGAAATATCACTGTTTCAATTTGATAACGTTTTTTAACTTTATAATTCTTTCCTTTTTAGATTTCAGGTAATCATACTTTTGATTTGAGTGGATTATTTGTTTTTTTTTCAAACAGTTATCAAAGTGTTAAAGCGGTGTTTTAATCAACTATAAATTTAAAGGTTATGCTTTTTCCCTTTTATTTATTTGTTAACAAAACACATGATGTGGTTGAAATTTTCTGCAAACTTTGTCAGCAGTCAATAATTTTTTGTTCTGAAAATTTCCCATTCTGCAGAAAGCAAATCACTTGATAATGTTTTAAGATTTTGTTATTACTTGCTTGCCACAACTTGTTTTGCAAATTGATGTAAATAACTATTTATTCCATTTAGGCTTCTAAAGACTTGGAATGTTATGTTCAATTTGATGGAGCAAACCTGTACAACATTATAAATCCTAAAAAGTCTCACAAAGCGCCAGCAGAGTTCTGTTTTTGTATAGTGGTATGTATTACTTATTAATCATGCAACTCCCAGAGATGATTAACACATAACTTCACCCTATAATATCCATACATTATCCAGCAAGCAGGTAAAGACAATACTCAAACTTATTAGATAGAGGTTGTCAGTTATCTTGATCTAACACCAAATTCTAGGGATACTTAACAAAGAAATGTGTAGCCGCTAGAGGGGAGGATAAAAAATGAGATCGTGGGAGTTTAAGGGTTTACGTGATTGGATCAATGACAGACAAGTTACCTTAATGAAGAACTTTATCGGCTCTAAGCAACGAGACCAGCCTTAAACAAGAAATAGTGTTGTAGGATTCACCCTCCCCTCCCCTTCCCTCCCCTCCCCAATGCCATGCTCTGTTAGTATGTCCTTTGTTGCACATTTCTGTCAGCCTTATAGAGCACGAGAGCTGAAGGAGCTGAAGTGTCTTTGCACTGATGATGAGAAAACAATGATGAGTTGGATGATGGCTGTCAGAATTGCTAAGGTTGGTATCATTATTTTGTAACAAATGTTGCGTGCGAATTGTCAAGTTGTGATCGTACTTTGACCCGATGTAGCCCATAGTAACGATCGTATAGAGTCACCCTCTGAACTATGACGCTCCTTGTCTGTCATTTGATGAAAGATGAAGTCAACACTTAATTATTGTTAATTTCAAAGATGGCAACAAACCAAGAGACGGAGGAGAGAGACAAAATTATCGCGACGATTTTGATATCGAAGGACAAGTTATTCGCCCCG